TAATTTGTGGGAAATAAACTTTGAAAATGATTATAGGGGTTATCGGCCGCAACTGAAAGTTGCCCAGGCATTTTGAATTTTTACCTTGGTCATCTCGATACAAGATGTATTGGGTCCTCATTTTAGTTTGAATTTGATTACATATTGTCCTAAAGTGTGAATATACACTTTATCATGTAGAAAAGACATCCATGTAAATATTGTAGTGACTTGGTATGCTCCATGCTTGTATATGAGTACCCATCACCAAGGACAGAGCTAGAATTTTAAGTTTTCTTCGAGGGGGTTGGTGGTGAATAAAGAACAAGCTTTAGTTGGATTATTTTTTTACATAAGTTAAACACATTTCACATACCATATACATGTTTGGAAGGACACTAATGTAAATATGTGAGTGTTCCTGATATATTTATATGTAATGACATTATTATGCATGTAAATTTTTATTTTTTCTAAATCCTATTTCTATCCACATTTGAAGAAGTTTATTACAATTTAACTTTTTGTTTGTATTCATCGTTATCAATTTGGGACCTTTGTTTGCTATTATGTGTAGTTGGATTGTAGGGGATCGAAATTTCTTGAGACTTGCCACATGTTTTGCATTTCCCTTAAGGATTATGTGGGTTTTATTAGGGGTGGGTTTAGTTTGATAACCGAATCGAAACACCTAAATAAATTACTGACCAATAAGGGGCAATATGTGATAAATCAAAACCGAAAGAGACAAAAGATCATCATCGAACCCATCGAACCACAACCACCATCAAACCCATTACATATCAACTATAACCACAACATCCTCAGTATCAAACCTTCACAACAACCTCTGTATCAAACCACCACCAAGAAATTGAAACCCAAAAACTCTAAATTCAATTCCTAATTCAAACCTCAAAAATCAATACACTGAATTCTGAAATTTAAAACCTAATCGAGACCCTAAACCTTAAACGACAACACGGACCTAGAAACCCAAAAGACCAGACTTCCATTGTTTAAGCATGCATAGGTTTCTATGATACATTTTGGTCGAGATAAAGGGATTAGGAGGAGAGAGAGAGAGAGAGAGAGAGAGAGAGAGAGAGAGAGAGAGAGAAGAAGAAGAAGAAGAAGAAGAAGAAGAAGAAGAAAAGTAGAAGAGAGAGAGATAAGGAAAGAAGAAGAAAATAAAAAATAAAAAAAGTTGAGTTTGAAAAGAATATAAACTTTTGTTTAAATGGGTCTGAGAGTTTTAAAAGCCCTTTAGTATTTCAAAAGCTCTTTTTATTCAATAAAAAATAGAGAGCCAATCCAAGAGCTAGTCCCACCTCTAACACAACAATTATGAAGAAGGATGAAATATTGATCAATTCTGTTTTACTGACGGTTTTAGTATTGGGATACCAAATCCAGTACCCAAATGCATTCATTTGATTGGTATTGAGTTAATTTTTGTGGATCCATTTTCATGTTGGTATCGTGTCAGTTTTTTGGTCATTTTTTCAAGCCCTAGGTTTGATAACGATTGTAATTCAAGTGATGGCGGTAATACTCATATAGGCTTATGGGTTGACATATGTTAGGCTAGTTGGTTAGTGCAGTGCGTCCATTCCCTTAACCCCAAATTCAAATCTCCCTTCCTTGTTAGAGTAATTAGGGCTTGTTTGGAATTGCTTCTATAGAAAACACTTCTTCTCGTAAGCCCTTGTAACAAAAACAGTTTTATTTTGAAAACGCTGGAATTTCTCCAGAAAGTGCTTGTATGACCAAGAAGTACTTCTAAATTTGTTTGCCAAACGCTGTCAGAAAATACATTTAGCCATTCCATAAGAACATCTTAAAAAACCGTTAGAGTAATTTAGACTATTGCATGTATTAAAATATCATGCTTAATTGCATATATGGGCTTAGTCAAATTAGCTCTAGTGGATGTGCTTTCAACTCTACACCAGAGTTTGAATCCCCGTTCCCATTGCAAGCCCGATCCACAGAGTGTGTGGGCTGGGCCACAGCATTGGGCCCCAAAAAAATGGGGCCTCCTACACACTTCCAATCTAATAAGTATACTAGCAAAAAAACCTTTTATGTGTGAAACTAATGCTTTTTGGGCTTTATTTTGAACTTTTTTTTGGCATTTTTCTTTATCTTTCATATAATGGATCTTTTTTACTTAAACTAACATACTTACCACCTAATTTTAAAATTTTTATTATAATTTTTGTTCAAAATGAGGTAAGAGTGTTAAACAAAAAAGACCTCATTTTTCATTTTTTTTTTCCCACGCCCTCCAAATCAATGGACTAGCTCTGTTCCATTGTTTAGATTAGATTAAAGTAGAATATCGCTTATATAAAAAAAATTTCGCTTAATTTTAGTGATACGGACTTCCCAATTATTTATGTGGTTTTCATCCAGATTAATTTTGCATTGAGTTATGATTTTATTGCCTTTTTGGTCAAAATTAGAATGAGTTTTCAATTTTATGAATTTTAAATAAAAAAACCAAAGTTTTCGCACTGACCATTTGTGAGCACACATATTAACCTTGAGGAATGACACAAAAAAAAAAAAAAAAAAAAAAAAAAAAAAGGACGCAATTTGATAGTTTCATGAACCTCAGTGACGTTTTGTGATATAAAGCTTTTTATGAATTTCAAATTTAAATTATTTTAAATATATATATATATATATGTATGCCACATCATCAAACTAATAAAGTTTTTGACGAAACTTGACGGTAGGGACCATTTGTGAGCACACATACTAACCTTAAGGACCACAAATGACAAAATAAAAATAAAAATAGTAAGGATGCAATTTGATAATTTCATAAACCTTAGAGCATCTGCAATGGTAGTTCAACAGTTCAATTTATTGAACTTTTTTGGCAGCTATTGAACTAAACTGTAGTTTCACTTGTAGTGGTGCAGTTCAATATCTTACAAATTAAAAACTATATATTTTTACATATCTTTTTAAATGATTGAATAAAATAAAATGAATAAAGTTAATTATGATAAGAATTATACAATTATAATAGTTTCAAAGAGATCTTTAAAAACAGACCAATTTTGAATATAACAAAATTTTTCTTGCTCCCTAGTAAAATGAGTTCCCTTTTTTGGGTTGCTCATTTTTTATCGAAAAATAAAGCTTCAACATAAACATTTTTGTTTTTTGTTTTTTATTTTTGTTTTTTTGTGGATGTTGGAAGTTGTGGTAGAGTTGTTTTCTACATATGTATTTCTAGGTAAATAACTTGCCGTTTGAAAAGGGAACTAGCCAATTATGTTTTTGAAAAAAGAAATAAATTAGCAATGGCTAGTATATATAATTAGCTATCCTTTTTTTAAAAAGTGAAACAAATCAATAATGGCTAGTATATATTCACTAGATGTTTGTATTTTTAGAACAGTGAAAGCTAGTTTACACTAATTCAATATAATAGAAAAATTAAAAAACGAAAAGTAATGTTGTCTATGCGTCAATAGGGGAGAGATTGTAGAGTTATTACGGTGGGTCAACTTATTGAAATAAAATTGAAATGACTCTCACAATTGCTATGCTTGTGATATAAAGCCTTCCACTTTAATACGAAGCATTCCGTTTGAGCCCTAGTCCAACGACGTCAGACTTGAGAGAGAGAGAGTGGCGCTATGAATTCTGAGACGTTTTAACTTTCCCTCCTCCCCCTCTCCCACGAAATCCAAAACGACATTTCCACAATGCGCTAAACTCTACATTTTGCCCCCCATCTATTGACCAACCAAAACCAGCATTCCACGCAGAACAAATTGGTCAACGAGTCCAGTCCAGTCATTTCAAATCCCCAAACCCCACACCACTGACCTGTACGGGTCCAAAAGTTAAAACCCAAATGACCTTTATAATTTATTTTTATTTTCTCTTGAAAAGCCCAATAATCCTTTGTTTTATTTAGGGAATTCGATTTCATAGTGGAGAAAAAGAAAAAGAAAAGCCAGAAATTCCAAAATTCCCTTGTTCATGCAAAAACTCATTTCACTCACTCCATCTCACTCTCTGGATCATCAGAGTCTGTAAAGAGAAGTGAAAGTGACAGCAGAAGACCACACGGCGTCGTTTTTGTAATTTGTCACTGTAAGCTGTAGGCCAAATTTCTGTGTCATTTCAAAAACTGAAATTTGCTTTCAAAAGCTTTTTGCAGAGCAGAGCTCTCACTCCGTTGAAAAACCCCAATTTTTTTTTGGTGCTTCAGGGCTTAAATTTAGGGTTTTGGGGTCAAACCCGCAGTGCCAGAGTACGGAAGAAGCGAAACGTTGTGGTAATTTTTGCTCTAACTTGTTTGCATTTTGTTATTCGGTGTTTGGTTGCTGAGAAAGTAAGCGAGTTTTAGAAGAAAATACGACCGCAGAAATGGGGCTTTTGCTTCTTTGGGAAATTGAAGGGGGAGAAAATGTTGTACATTGGGTTTATTTTCACTCAGTTTTTCTGTAACCAAAGGGACCATGTAGTCTCTCTCTTACTTTCTCCGTCTCTGACCGTGACGCTAAACACGTTTGCTTTGCGTTTTGTTTTTCTGGTTCCATTTAGGGGGGTCTTTTTGCTTACAAGTAGCTGTTGAAGCACAAACACACCCGAAGACTTGGGTAATTTTGCTCTTTCCTTTTGCTGCAGGTTTCTTTTGTGTTTGGTGTCTGAGAAAGTTGGTGAACATTTTAGACCTCGTTTCTCTTTTGTTGCTGCGTTGTGCAGGGTTTTGTACTCTTTCCATTCTCTCAGAAACATGCTACATTGGTTCAGATTTTTTTATTGCGTTTGTTTTTAACATATTTTATTATTTATTTTTCGTTTTTGAGGTTGCTACCTCCCACAGACTAACTTTTTTCTTGAAATAAATTTTTAGCTTAATAATGGTGTTGTAGTATATTTGCATGTTGGTTTTGCTGTAATAGTTACAGTCATCTCTACATTTATCTCCTTTTCCCCTTTTTCTTTTTTCTTTTCCACTGCAGTATCTTAAGGTTTCTTTAAAGGAAATGGAGGAAGCCTCTTCCTCAACTATTTTAGAGGGGGAGATAACTGGAATCAAATTTGGTTTGGCAACTCATCAAGAAATCGTAAGTAGAAATTTGACATTCAATTCATTAGTTATTCAGTTGATATCATCTACTGTTTGAGAGGTGTTAACTGCATTGGTTTGTTTCAGAGAAAATAAAATTGCATTCATTTGATAGGAGTTGGAGGTTTCTGTTTCATTTTTTGGAGCGATTGGCATCTAGAGTCCATATTAAACATCTATAATCTGAGCTGAGCTCATTTCGTTTCAAAAAGAAAAAAATCTGAGCTCATTTAGTGCCTGTAATTAGCGGATTATACCAAAAAAAAAGAAAAAAGAATTATTGCTTTCCATTTATCAAATTATATTTCTTCACAACTAGTGCCTGATTATTGACTATGGGGAAGTAAATTAGAAAACCAACAGTGTTTGTAATGATTTTAATTTTGCGGCTCTTAATCTTTAATTACTCCGAAACCCAACAACGTTGGACTAATTTCGTTTTATATTTGGATGTTTACTTTTTTGCCAGTGTACAGCATCTATCAGCAATTGCGCTATCAGCCATGCAAGTCAGCTTTCCAACCCATTCCTTGGCCTGCCCCTTGAGTTTGGAAAGTGTGAATCTTGTGGCACTTCTGAAGCTGGGAAGTGTGAAGGTGCCATAAGTGTCTTTTCTTAGCCTTGTCATTTAGAGTTAAATTATATAATGTTGTGAAACAAAGTTAGATGTAAGAAATAGGTTATAATCCAAAGCATACAATTGGAAAAATAATGAAGCATATGTTTTATCCCTTTTCAGGTCATTTCGGGTATATTGAGTTACCAATACCAATATTTCATCCTAATCATGTGAGCGAATTGAAGCGGATGCTGAGCTTATTGTGCTTGAAATGCTTGAAAATGAAAAAGAACAAGGTACCACTAGATTGAGTTCTTCATCATTAATGATTGTTTCTATGGTCATTATTTTGCACACAAAGCAGAGACTTTTATTTCATTTATTTGGACTTTTCTTGTCGGTTAACTGAAGAACTGCAGATGGTGGTTGTTTGTGTTCTAATTTTCAGCTGAGGAACAAAAAGGTTTACATGAAGAAGCAGTTGAATTTTGAAGCTATTTTTACTCTGTCATCCATCTTTCATATATATCACTTTTTCTATTTATAATCATTTTGTATTAAGTGCCCCTCTTTGCACCTGTATTTGTAATCTATGCAGTAGTCTCAATTTTTGTTTTTGACTTTCGAAAGTTGCTAAAATATCCCAAATTTTGCAAAGAAAGTCTTTGAAGTTTGAACTTAGTACCGCACGATCAATGTTTGTATTCAGTGAAATTGTTTTCTTGTTTGCCAACCACTAGTCTCACAATTTTTATTGTTTTTGTGAACATCTTATTGATGCAAAGAGTCTTAGTCGACTATTGCTTGATCTTCAGTTTTTTTAAATTCTGTAAACCAGTTGTTGCACGCTTTCTATTTGACTAGCTACTTTTTCTTATCATGAAGATTTGTGTTCTTATATTCTGTATCCTTTGGTGTTTCTGGGTTGATACCATTCAGTTTCCAACCAAGAATGCTGGCTTAGCAGAGAGAATGCTATCTTCATGTTGTGAGGTGAGTATAAGCTGACCAAACCCCTTTTCTTTTCCTAGATGTGAAGTATGCTAGCTGTATCTAGTAATTTTTGAATCTAATCTCTCTGGCTTACTCACTCACGCACACACATGCATGTTCACACCCACACGCACACACTAATTTAAGTCATGTAAAACAGAACATCATTTGTGTTATCTCATATGCTTCATCTGTTGGGATGCCCGTGCACTTATTAGAGATTGGTCCTTCAGAGGTTTTATTCCTTCATTTGGTATACCATGTTTAAAAAATTAAAAGTAATATAACTGGATAAAGTTGTTTTCGACTGGCAAGAAATCTTTTATTGTTTGTGTTTTTCTTAGTCTTTTTTATTTAATTTTTTGTAATGCATCCAACTGGAATTTATGCCCTTATTTATTTGGGTTGCATGTATGTAAGATGGTATTACTTTGTATAAACTGGACAAGTTTTTTTTATCAGCTTGGTATTTTCATAATATTTGTACTATATCAGTTTTTCCATGGATGAATTTTGGAGATGATGTAACGTAGGTTAACATTTAGTTTGTGGATTCTCTTGCGACTAACTCAGAAATATTCTAATCTAATTAAAGTATTTTTTTGCTAAAACTGGGGTTTTCTCTTGAAGTTAGATTACTTATTTATATAGAAATTTGAAGATTATGCAATATGTTCTCTCTGCATTTTCCATACACAAGTTTTATGGCCTGTTACTTTTTTCTGTAGGATGCTTCACAAGTGTCTATTGGAGAGATTAAACCAACAGATGGTTCTTGTTCTTTGCAATTGAAGCGGCCTTCTAAATCAAGAACACCACCTGGTTTCTGGAATTTCCTTGAACGATATGGTTTTCGTTATGGTGATGGCCACATACGAACTTTGCTTCCTTGTGAGGTGTGGTTCTTACTTCCTGCCTATGTTTCTCCTTGCTCGTATCACATTTTTGGAAGTTTGATTGATTTTTATTGTCCAGTTATGTGGGTTGAAGGCTTTGTTTGCTCACAGTTCACTTTGATTTCTATGATGTTTTAGCTAGTGACAAAGTTTGATGTTTTTTATCACGTACGTATTTCTAATTTGACACACTAGGGCACATGCAAATGTCCTCGCTAATCACAGAAATGAAACAAAGTGATTGCCTTAGCCTTGGGTTCCTGTTTGAATTACTTTATTGAATGCATTGATGAGGGGGTGCTATTGAGCTCCCTTTGGTGTCAAGCCGCATAGTCTATTTTATCTCAACAATTAGTTTGATGGCTAAGTTAGTCAAAGTCCTTTTTTCAAATAATTCATTTATGCTTTTTTGCTGTTTTAATTTGTGCAACATCTTTATTTCTAGTATGAGGCACTTGCACTCATGCATACGTCCTCACTAATCACGGTAATCTGGCAAAGTGAGTACCTTACTCTTAAATACTTTATTGATTAGATTGATCAGGAGGTGCTGTTACTTTTGTCGGCTCCATGTGGTTTCAACTTAATTTATTCATTAAATTAATTGGCCATATGTATATAAATTGATTCTGACCAAATGGTTTAAATTACAAATCATGCATAATGCAATCATACTGTGGCAGTTTCCTGTTTCTGCTGATTGTAACCGTTTTCTTTAATGCTTTTTATGGCACATAGTATTCTCTCCTGATACATGTTATTATTTTTGTAATGACTACCAGGTGATGGAAATGCTGAAAAGAATCCCTCAAGAGACCAGGAAGAAACTTGCTGCTAAAGGCTATTTTCCTCAAGATGGATACATCTTGTCTCAAATACCTGTCCCTCCAAACTGTTTGTCTGTGCCTGAAATTTCTGATGGTGTTAGTGTTATGTCTGCGGTAAGTTTCTTGGCATGATAATGGACCTTAATCAGTTCTGGTTGGATTGGTTATAACTAGTCTTCCTTGCCATTTTCCAGGATCCTTCAATATCAATGCTAAAAAAAGTTCTAAAGCAAGTTGAAATCATAAGAAGTTCAAGGTCTGGCATACCGAATTTTGAATCTCAGATTGTTGAGGCGAATGAATTGCAAGCAATAATTGATCAGTATCTTCAAGTTAGGGGTACTGGAAAGCCATCACGCGATATTGATGCAAGATTTGGGGTAAACAAGGAGCTTAATGCCTCTTCAACAAAAGCATGGCTTGAAAAGATGAGGACATTGTTCATTAGAAAGGGTTCAGGCTTCTCTTCCCGTTCAGTGATTACTGGAGATGCATTTAGAAGGGTGAATGAAGTTGGCATCCCATATGAAATTGCTCAAAGAATCACATTTGAGGAGAAGGTTAATGATCATAACATTAGGTATCTACAAGAGCTGGTAGATAGCAAGTTGTGCTTAACCTATAAGGATGGTTCATCGACGTACTCACTCAGGGAAGGTTCAAAGGGGCACACATTTCTGAGGCCTGGTCAAGTGGTTCATCGTAGAATAATGGACGGGGATCTTGTTTTTGTAAATAGGCCCCCAACCACCCATAAACATTCTCTGCAAGCACTCCAAGTGTATGTGCACGATGACCATGTGGTGAAAATCAACCCTCTCATTTGTGGGCCACTTAGTGCCGACTTTGATGGTGATTGCATCCACCTGTTCTATCCCCAGTCGCTTGCTGCAAAGGCAGAAGTCTTGGAGCTTTTTTCAGTGGAGAAGCAGCTGCTTAGCTCTCATAGTGGAAAGCCAAATTTGCAATTGGCCACTGATGCACTATTGTCATTAAAGATGATGTTCAAGAAATATTTTTTGGACAAAGCAGCAGCACAGCAACTGGCCATGTTTGCATCATCTTCATTGCCACGACCGGCTTTACTGAAAGCAAATTCTGCTCATTCATATTGGACTGCTTTTCAGATATTACAGACTGCATTGCCAGCTCACTTTGACTGCAATGGCGACAACTACTTGGTCAACAAAAGTGAGATACTGAATATTGATTTTAGCACAAGTTCTGTAGCAGCTGTGATGAATGACATTGCTACCTCTGTTTTCTTTGAGAAAGGTGGTGAAGCTGTTCTGAAATTCTTTGATTCTCTACAGCCCTTACTGATGGAGAATTTATTTTCAGAAGGGTTTAGTGTTGGTTTGGAAGATTTTTCCATGTCCAGGGCATCCATACAAGACATTCAGAAGAATATTCAGGATAGTTCTGATTTGTTGTATCATTTGAGGTCAACATACAATGAGTTTGTAGAGTTTCAATTGCAGAATCGCATCAGAAGTGTGAAAGTACCAGTTTCACATTTTATCTTGGAGTCATCTGCATTGGGTGATTTAATCGACTCCAAGAGTGATTCAGCCATTAACAAAATTGTTCAACAAATTGGGTTTCTAGGCCTGCAACTTTCTGATAAAGGAAGATTCTACTCTAAGACATTGGTTGAGGATGTGGCCTCTCTGTGTCATAGTAAATATCCATCTGACATTGATTATCCCTCTGCCGAATATGGACTAGTTCAAAGCTGTTTTTTTCCATGGGTTAGATCCATATGAGGCGATAGTTCACTCCATTGCTACACGAGAGGTGATTGTTCGGTCCTCAAGAGGATTGTCTGAACCTGGGACTCTATTTAAAAATTTAATGGCCATTCTTCGCGATGTTGTTATTTGCTATGATGGCACCGTCAGAAATGTCTGTAGCAACTCAATAATCCAATTTGAGTATGGAGTCAATACTGGATCCAGGCACCAGCATTTATTCCCTGCTGGTGAACCTGTTGGGGTGTTAGCTGCAACTGCAATGTCAAATCCTGCGTATAAGGCAGTTCTGGATTCTACCCCAAGCAGCAACTCTTCATGGGAGCTGATGAAGGTAGTTTTGGCTATTGATTATGACTGTTTCTTTCTTTTCAAAGCTTGAATTTTATCTGTTATGTTTTCTTTCGCAGTGCACACATAAAGGCTCAACTTAAAGTTGCATTTTCTTTTCTTCAGGAAATTCTGCTTTGCAAAGTCAATTTTAAGAATGAGCTCATTGATCGCCGTGTAATTTTGTACTTGAATAACTGTGGTTGTGGAAGAAAGTACTGCCGAGAACGTGCAGCATGTTTGGTTAAGAATCAGTTGAAGAAAGTCAGTCTTAAAGATACTGCAGTTGAATTTATGATTGAGTATGCTCTGCCTCCTTATATTTTTTTGGCAATATTTTCATGTAGTTTTATTTAAGTATATATGTAGGAATGTCATGTGTTGCCCATTCCTTTAGTCCATGTTGATTCATCATATTCTGGAAAGTGAATAAGTAAATAGAATTCATTTATTTCTTTAAATGCCTTCTGCGAGTTGCTACCTAGAATAAGTGTTGCCTTTGCTGAAATATTTTTAAATACTGTGTAGCTCCTTGATGCATAATTTGGGGTAACTATGCAACCTTCCGGTTTAATATTAGTTAGATATCCGATGGGTGATCAGGTCAAAGAGGGTCAACAGCTCCAGAACAAAATTGGTGAAGCTTTACCGCCTACGTAGCATTTTGTTTTTATCAAACTTCTTGATTTAGAGAGAGAGAGAGAGAGAGAGAATTTGGCATATTATGTGGTCTCCATGTCATTGACAAAAGAAATTGGATTTGGCATGTATTATATATATTGCTTTCTTTTTTTGGTGGTATAAAACTAATGTGTGACAGTGTGTTTGGTGTAATATTTGTGTATTCTTACATCGCAGATATAACAATCAGCTTTCTGGTTTGGGAAGTCTGGTAAATGATGCAGGCCTTGTTGGTCATATTCATCTCAATGAGGTTGGCACTGTTTTCAAATTGTTCTAACATTTTCTTTATATCTTCAGTTATGAAGTTGCAATTACTTCCTTGTGTGGGTTAACCAGAGCTCCATTGAACAGGATATGTTACGAGAGTTAAACGTTGGTGTTCACGATATTCTTCAAAAATGCCAAGAAACTATTAATTCATTTCGGAGGAAGAAAGTTGGAAAGAAGAAGTTCAACATTGGTTATCATTTTAAAAATACAGTTTTGTTTGCCAGGTTGATTTTTCCTGTCTGATAATTGTTTCATAATTATGTTCACCATATGGACTTGATCTTTTATGCTTTCCTATTTGTGCAACCAAATTTTGATACGTGATATGACAATGACGTGAGAAAAAGCTTCAAGTCGTTTTAGTTAATATGATATTTTTGTTTTTAGGAAAGTTCAGGAACATTGTGAGTTGCACCTTTTTTGTATATTTTATTTTATAATTTCTTAAGAGGTTGGTTTTTTCTTTGAATTGATAATTGCAGTCTTAGTTAAAGGAGGGGAGGTGGAAACACAATAACGTGATATCTTGGCCAAAAAAAACAGTAACTTGATAAGAGAAACACCGCCAGTACAAAGTCCACCATAGTAATGTAGATCATCCCTGTTGTTACCATACCATGTAAATGCTTTCTTATTCGATTTGGAACTCTGCATGCCTTCTGGATTTAAGAGCCCTAGAGATCGTGAAAATTTCCATCTCAAAAGAATTCATAAATCAAAATTAAGTTGTTTACATGGCATAATCATATACAATGTTTACTTTGTTGACATCCATTTCCCTTATTGTGTTTGAAAGTTTACCTGTGGCTCCACATTAGAACTGTAAGGATAGCCTACTCAACAATTTAAGCTTCCTTGTTTGCAGTGAACATTGCTCCTTTCATCATTCCTCTGCAGAAAAAAGATCCGACTCCCCATGCTTGATGTTCTTCCTTCAAGCAACTGATGATTTGGAGACCACTACCACTTTGCAATACTATGCGGACTTGATTTGCCCTGTTCTTTTAGAAACAATAATAAAAGGTAGCTTTAGAGTTATATGTAAAGAGTGCACAACTAATTTATTATTTGAGTTCCCTTTGTTTCCAATGGATGTTGCTCTTTTCATTTGTTTTGCAACTCACATATATAACAGAAATGTTCCTAGCTATTATATGCAATTTGTATGTTCTGATTATGTCTGTTTGTTCGGTCTCTCTCTCTCTCCCCCCACTTCTGTGTTGTATCCCCTTTTTATTAGAGTTGCTGTCGAAGGTTTATCTTTAGTTTTTTCTCAGAAGTGGGCTTCCTTACCATTTAACTTCTTTTTCTTTTTCTTTTATTTAAATTAAAAAATTTCTTTTTAATTATATTAATAAAAAAAAAAAAAAAAAAAAAAAAAATATGGAAAGTCTAAGTATGATTATTTGTCTCTTCATAATTCAAGTCAAGTGACTAAAAGAATTGAGAAGCTCATGAGGGACATTTTGAGGGAGGGCCAAGAAGGGGAAAAAGGAGCATTTAGTTAAGTGAGACTTAGTGTTGAGATATAGGGGAAAATGGGTACTGGGCTTGTAAATTTGGTTAAGAGGAATGTGGCTTTGTGGAAAAATAGTTGCGGATATTTCCTTTGGAGAGGGAATCCTTGTGGCATGCTGACTTGTCCTCATGCTAATAGCTGGGACTCCAAAGTGGTGTGTAGTCGTGCATGTACAAGTCCTTGGCATTTCACAGTGAATTGGTGGGTGGGGGAAATCTCCTTTTTGTTTTTTATGTGCGCATCTTTATGGACTGCCATCCAATCTCTAGTTTGTCAGTTGTTTTATGGGTTGGAATTTAAATTAGGAGAGACTTAATGAAGCTGAAATAGGGGAGTTTTCCTCTCTTTATTTATTTGATTGAAAATCCTTCATTGTGTCCAGACCAGGGTGATAGAAGGGCTTGGAAATTTAAATATTCTAAATCCTTTCTATTTTTCTTGCAACTCCTGTCTTTACCTTTTTTCAACCGATCCCAATTGATTTGAAAGACTAAGGGCCCTAGTAAATCCTTGTTTGGTTAGGTGCTCATGGGATTGTCGTTACTTGTGACAATATCCAACGTAAGAGGCCAAATATGTGCCTATCAGCCGATTGGTGTTAAATGTGCATGAATGCAGAACATATTGACCATCTATTTCTAGGTTGAGTTGGGCATTTCGAGCCTCATGTATAGTCATTAGTTGAAAATGTGGCTTTAGGGAAAGGCAGGAAGGCTAAATCTTAGGGGCGGAGGAGTGGTCTTAATGGATAGGGTGGTGTTTTGGACAATTTGGACATCAGTAGTTGCTGAGTTTAGAGATATTCATTTCATTGTCCTTAATTTAGTTCGGGTTGCTGCAGTTTTCTGATCTTTAGAGTTTTGGCGCTGGTGATCGGAGCGTTTTCTTTTATATTTTGTGTTATTGTTGCTTTGTTTAAATGGTGTACCTCTTGTTTAATGCTGGACACTATTTTGTAACTTTTCTTTTAGTAATGTCTTCATTTTTATAAAAGCTTTTTAATTTGGTTCTCAAATGAATCATGTCTTTCTAATGGACAGGTGACCCTCGTATTGGCTCAGCCAATATAATTTGGATTGATCCAGATACAACAACTTGGATTAGAAGCCCAAACAAATCTCAGAAGGGTGAATGGGCCTTGGATGTTGTTCTGGAGAAATCGGTCATCAAGCAAAGTGGTGATGCATGGAGAACAGTGCTCGATTCTTGCCTTCCAGTGCTTCACCTAATTGACACCAGACGTTCCATCCCGTATGCCATCAAACAAATTCAAGAATTGTTGGGGGTGTCTTGTGCTTTTGATCAAGCAGTTCAGGTACTGTCATTCACAGTTTAGTTGTTTCTAGTAGGGGTGGTAATAGGGTTGTGGGATATCATGATTTGGTGGTGTCATATGGCAACATAACCTAAAAAATATAGTTTTTTGAGCTGTATGACTTGATTCAAATTTTATATTAGTCGTTGTACGTTTGGGTAGAGACAGAGTAAACTGTAATTTAAGACTAGGAATTTATTTATTTCAAAGCCATATCCATTACTCGATCCATCTTCTGTCAAATGAAAATGCACTCCATCCATGTGTTAGAAGGCCTAAGAAAGAAGAAACAAATTTTCTGATTCTAGAAGGATTCATATCATACCAATCAAGAAGTAAACAGAAAAAAGTCTGAAATTTTCCTCATGCAAACGTTGAATGGTCTGTTTTGTCAAAATCTGGTGTTTCTGATGTTTAGTCTAATATGTTCCAACTTAGTCTATCCAATTTTCCAATTTCAAATGAATCAACCTTTTTATCGTTCTTGTTACCAAGTAGGGTAAATTCAAGTAATAGTGACATTTTTGTGTTGGGATGATATTCTGTTGCTGCATTGCTTAGAAAATTATCAGTCTTAGTTTCCAGTAGCTTCTATTATATCTGTGTAATACGCTTCTCTCCCGTTGGAGTGTTTGACTTTCTGGACATCTCATTCTTCATACAATTTAATTCTTCACTACCCTTTCTTTCTAGTGGGAGTGCTTTAGTGCATCAGTTGTGTGTAAAATTGTATGTTTCGTATGCTTATTAGAGGGATTCAAATGACTGATCTTCATTAGCTGTGGACCTCCTTTTAAAATTTCAATCTTTGCATAATTGTGTGGCTGTATTTCTGGTTCCCTCTGGCATGCTACCGTACATCTTATGAAATTTAACTTTTCTAGTTGTCAATGAAAATTGGAACATATAGACTAAATTTCTGGGTGATATGAGATACTTATTCTACTTTTCAATTAAGAATACATTTTATGATTGATTACGCAGCGCCTCTCAACGGCAGTGACAATGGTGGCAAAAGGTGTTCTGAAAGAGCATCTTATCCTCCTGGCAAATAGCATGACATGTGCAGGAAATTTCGTGGGATTCAATTCGAGTGGGTACAAAGCACTATCTCGGGCATTGAATATTCAAGTACCGTTTACAGAAGCAACACTGTTTGTAAGTAATTGAAAATTTTCGTCTAATTCTGTGAAAGGGCATTTACTTATAGTTACTGGTTAAGATGAATTACAATCAGAACTGATTTTAGTACTCACATGTGGTTGTAGACACCAAGAAAGTGTTTTGAGAGAGCAGCTGAAAAGTGCCACATGGATTCATTGGCAAGCATAGTTGCATCATGTTCCTGGGGTAAACATGTTGCTGTGGGTACGGGCGCGAGGTTTGATGTCCTGTGGGACACAAGAGAGGTATTTCATAATTTTTAATGCACTTGTGAATTCTCAGTCGTATTAAATTTAGTCTTATCTGCTGCTAATGTTTCGCACCATTTAAATCTTGATTTTTTCTAGGTAGAATTGACTCAAGAGGGTGGACTTGATGTTTTCAACTTTCTGCATATGGTGAGCACTGCAAACGTAGAAGAAGCAACTACAGGAGCTCTCGGTGCAGAAGTTGATGATCTAATGCTAGTTGATGAAATGGCAGATTCAAGCTTCTCGCCAGAACTTAACTCCAGTTTTGATAGGCCCGTCTTCGAAGATCTTGTTGAATTTGATGATAAATTAGGAGATCTTCCCGAAAAATCAAACTGGGAAAAGGATTCCTCCTTCCACACTGATTCTAGTGGGGGGAAAGACTGGAGCGTCGACAAAAATGTGGGAACTGTGGCAGTACCTGACGTTTGGTCAAGCTGGGGTACAGAGAAAGGGAAAACACAAGATAGTAACTCAGCAGAAGCCCAGTTGGATTCCAAGAAATCCAGTGTTTTGGATACCTCGTCTGCGTGGGGGAAAAATCCAGCAAAAGAAAATACGACATCTACATGGGGGACAACTACGGCAAGTGAAAATGATTGGTGTGGTAGAGGGGTAGGTGAGGATGATTCTGCAAGCTTGTCTGGGAAGAAATCTGGTGTTTTGAATACCTCATCTGCGTGGGTGACAAATACTGCCAGAGAAGATGCTGCATCTGCCTGGGGAACAAATCCAGCAAAAGAAAATACCACATCTACATGGGGCACAACTACGGCAAGTGAAAATGATTGGTGTGGTAGAGGGGTAGGTCAGGATGATTCTGCAAGCTTGTCTGGGAAGAAATCCAGTGTTTCGGATACCTCGTCTGCGTGGGCGACAAATACTGCCAGAGAAGATGCTGCATCTGCCTGGGGGAAACATCCAGCGAAAGAAAATACCACATCTACATGGGGCACAACTAAGGCAAGTGAAAATGATTGGTGTGGTGGAGGGGTAGGTCATGATGATTCTGCAAGCTTGTCTGGGAAGAAATCCAGTGTTTTAAATACCTCATCTGTGTGGGCGGCAAATACTGCCAGAGAAGATGCTACATCTGCCTGGGGGAAAAATCCAGCAAAAGAAAATACCACATCTACATGGGGGACAACTACGGCAAGTGAAAATGATCGGTGTGGTAGAGAGGCAGGTAAAGTTGAACCAGTAGACCTCCAGCCTACAAAACCCCAGGATGATTCTGCAAGCTTGTCTGGGTGGGATTCACCTACTGGAGATGGGAATTCTGGTGAAAGAAATCATCAGTGGGGACAGCATCGTGGAGACCAAACAAAGAAAAATCGTTTTGAAGGTGCAAGGAATTGGGTTTCAAGTCCTGGGGAATGGAAGAATAAGAACCGTCCTCCTAAGTCGCCTGGAATGGTGAATGACAATTCTACCATGGGTGCATTATATACTGTAACAAGACAGAGATTGGATATGTTCACTTCCGAGGAGCAAGATGTTCTTTCTAATATTGAACCAGTTATGCGCTCCCTCCGACGGATAATGCATCAATCTGGGTATGTTTTCTATCTATGTACTTTCTTAACATTTCGGACCAGGCAGATCAAAATAATGGATACTTTTCAATTTTCTAAAGGAGAAATGATTCTTATATAGGAGGACCAGATGTTTTTGTCGTGCTAAGTGTCTTATAAGTAAGAGTCCATTTGAAGTCAGGGGAATACTTGTAGTTTAGTGTGACAAGACAAGAAACTAATGATTTGAATAATTATTTATTAGTGTGCAATGTTCTTTTGGTGATTTGGATGGAAAGGAACAGTTTAACTCAAAGCCAAAGTTGGGCAGTTTGTGGACTATTTATGAGATATGGCTAGACTTTGGGCCTCTCTATGGGCTTCAGTCTCATCTGTACCATGATTGCCCATTCTTTCCCTTAAATTTGGAAAGGGAAGCTGCTATATCGTAGTTGTCCTGATTGTACTTTGGGGCTTTTGCTCTGTTTTCGGCATTGTTGGACGCTATACTGTCATACTTTTCTTTTGGTTTCTTATAAATTGTAGGCTTTGTGCAGTGTATTTTCTGGTCTTCTAGTCCACTTTGATTGTACTTCCTGTTCATATTAATATGCATGTTGAAGTCTGAAGTCTATTTTTACATAAAATTAATTATAACAACTATAAAAGAAAGATATCTAATAAAGTGATGAATTTTACATATTACATTGGACTTTCCTTTGGAGATGTCTTAGGGATATCATATCTTCACCGATATCCATATGAAACAATTGATTTCATTTTTGGACATTATCCAGTCACTTTGCATATATTATAGCTTCGTGCTTTGTTCTGCAACTGTTTGATATTTCCTTCCCTTTTTGAATATTTTAATTGTAGCAATATCTTTGCATGGTGTTCAACAATGCTGTAACTTAATTTCTGGTTTTTAAATTATTTTATTCAGGTACAATGATGGGGATCCACTGTCAGGTGACGATCAATCGTTTGTACTTGATAATGTCTTCAATTACCACCCGGATAAAGCAGCTAAAATGGGTTGTGGAATTGATCATCTCACAGTATGTTCATCTACCCTGTTCTTGCTTAACTACGTTTTATTTAGAATTATATTTCTGTACACATTTGATACATTGGATTAAGAATCTGTGACTGATTATTTTATTGTTATACTGCTTATTCTAATATTCATTTTATTTGTTATGGAAGCTGGACATTTGTACAGATTTTCCTAGATTTTCCATTGAGTTTAAACTCCATGTGTATTGTTGCATACCTAAATTTGTTCTGCAGCTCAATGGAAATTTTGAAACCTTTTTTTATGTCAATATTTATCATTAGCAAAGAGCTGTTGCACATAGGGAGTTGATTCAGATGGGGTTTAGTCAGAAAAAATCATTTTCGTGTCTTTTGGTTTAGATACGCATGGTACCAGGCTGCTAAGGTTGGTGATCTAATTTTTCAGATAAGGGGAATAAATACTCGTCTTTAAACATGAATTAAGACTGATTCATTTGAAGGGGTTTTTAAGTCTCTGGACAAGTAGTGATTGGGAAGAGGTTTTCTTTCATAGTACTTGGAAAACATAATCAGGCTGGAATGTCCGGTATTGTTTACTTTTTTTTCAGGAACCACTGTCTTGTAATATCTGCCAATATGTGTCATATTTTGTAAAATATTCGACTAATTTACACTGCTATTGGTATGACAGGTTAATAGGCATGGTAGTTTCCAGGACAGCAGATGCTTCTTTGTTGTGTCAACAGATGGTCGTACGGAAGATTTTTCATATAGGAAATGCCTGGACAATTACATAAGGGAAAAGTTCCCTGATTTAGCCGAAACTTTCATTGGCAAGTATTTCTCTAGGAGAGGGAATCGAGAGCGGAACCCAACTCTAAGTCAAACCCCCACTCTAAGTCAAACCTCCACTCCAGAGCAAACTGAGAATGCGGAGACGCAGTAGAACATGTCTATTTCCTGGGCATGTGTCATTTTGAGATTCTCATGTAATTAGGTGTAAACATTCTGCTCCTCTGTTTTTTGATTTGTATATATTAGGCAGTTGTTAGCAGCTCCTGACAAACTCAGTTTGTTTTCTTTTTCCTTTTTCTGGGTTTGACCTTAGAGCATTTTAGTTAACCTGTTGGTAACTACTGGATGCGGTTAAACTAAACCCTTAATTGGGAGATATTGCAGGTAAAAAATCAATTGTCGATGAAATGCAGAAGTGTTACCAATATCATTCATCAATGGCTTCTATTTCTTTGTTAATCATTTTGGTACTGAGACTTGCTGCCTCTCCGATGACAGCTCAATTAGGTCTTCATCATTGCTCATGGTTCATGGTTTTGGGTTTATCTCTAAAATGTTGTGCTGCTGCTTCTGTGTGCTGGAAGGGAAATGTTTTGCTGATTAGCAAAGCAGCTCTCATACTGCCAATCACACTTCTGATTTGGAAATTTTATTTTTGTTTCTATTTTTCTGATAAGGAATTGATGATACTGGGTAACTGGGCCATGATAAATAGCTGTGCAAATGAACATGAAGAACTTGGTTCATTATACAGAGTTCAGATAGATTACAAAAGTGAGTTGAATCCAATCAATCATTTCTTGAACAATTGGCTATAAATAAATAACAGATTCACCTCTGGTTAATCCGTACAAGAAATATTCACATTAGATTAGTCATAGGCCAATATCTACCATTAGTTTGATTAAAATAAAGGAAACCCTTACAATTTCATGCATATTAGTTGTCAATCTTCAATCCATCTTAAAAAATATTTGCAGGAAAGTTATTGATGTCTATATTCATTCCTGCGCAAATCACTGTTTACAGGAGTACAGGTAAAATTGTAGGTTTTGACAATATTATTATTTATTTCTTTAACATTTTTATCCCTGTAATTTGACTCATTTTCTCACTTTGGTCCTTGCAATTTTAATTATGTCAATTTAATAATGAAATTTTGTTTAGGTAGCAAAGTCCAACAAGACGAAATGATTACGTTTTGAGTTGATTGCCAATATTTTGGAGAGACAAAGGTGCCCTCACGCGTGATGGATATTGCAAGCTAAATTAAATTACATAACTAAAATTATGAAAATTGAAATGACATGGGCCAAATTAAAATTGAATCAAACTACGAGGGCAAAAGAATATAAGTAAGCATTTTATTTAAGTGGAGCATGACAAATCGAATTCTTATTTGTGGTTTTTCCTTAATTTCAATTTGTCTATGTAGTTTCAATTAAGTCGTTGTAGTTTTGTTGCTTGTTTCAATTAAGTCCCTTATAAGTGCACTGCATGTGCCATATTATTAATGACAGGACCCGCCCCGAATTTCCCAGAACCCGAGACGAACCCTGCGGAGACCTCGGCATCACACCCATGCCGAGTTCACTCCTTAAAACTATGTCCTCTTTTACCAAAGAGGATTAAGGGCACGAGACTTTCTGCCGAAATTCCGGCAGAGTCTCCCCTGTAAATTGAACATTCCCCAAAATTTCCGCCTGCATAAAACACATTATATAACCCAACCAGCAGCACGCACAATATAATCTCATGCAATTTTACATAAATGGCCTCCGGCCTTCAAATGATTCTAGCAGAACTGCTCACACTGCTTTTAAAATAACTCCATGCATCAAACATGCATATAACAAATTCAAAGTCTATCTATGCACACCTTCACTCACTCAGTCCATCGGACAAGCCTCAATTCGACCAAGTTTCGGGACCAACCACGAGGTCCGCATCATACTCGATAAAACCACCTAAGTGGTGTCTAAGCCGTGGCTGCACCTAGGCGCTATCCCAGGCTGCCTACGTACCCTACTAAGGGATCAAGCCACACGTAGCTCTTTCCTATCAAACCTGGCCCCTGATATCAATTAAACCATCACATCCATATAAATTTATCACAACACACCAAACACAATCACATAGCTCCACTCATACGTCGGGACGCACCCGGCCACGTACGGGGTCTGTCAACACGCCGGCTAATCCAAAGACGCGTGCGACCTCACACTGGGCCTGGCTACATTCTCACCAGCCATCATACCATCATATCTCCCACTCATACGTCGGGACGCACCCGGCCACGTACGGGGTCTGTCAACACCCGGCTAACCCAAAGACGCGTGCGACCTCACACTGGGCCTGGCTACATTCTCACCAGCCCTCACACAATCATATCTCCCACTCATACGTCGGGACGCACCCGGCCACGTACGGGGTCTGTCAACACGCCGGCTAACCCAAAGACGCGTGCGACCTCACACTGGGCCTGGCTACATTCTCACCAGCCCATCATACCATCATATCTCCCACTCATACGTCGGGACGCACCCGGCCACGTACGGGGTCTGTCAACACGCCGGCTAACCCAAAGACGCGTGCGACCTCACACTGGGCCCTGGCTACCTTCGCAACAGCCTCTACCATCAGTATACTCCCCCTCATACGTCGGGACGCACCCGGCCACGTACGGGGTCTTTCACACACGCCGGGCACCCAAAGACGCGTGCGACCTCAACACTGGGCCTGGCTACATTCTCAACCAGCCCTCCACTACCTCATATCTCCCCTCATACGTCGGGACGCACCAGGACGTACGGGGTCTGTCAACACGCCGGCCTAACCCAAAGACGCGTGCGACCTCACACTGGGCCTGGCTACATTCTCACCAGCCATCATACCATCATATCTCCCACTATACGTCGGGACGCACCCGGCCACGTACGGGGTCTGTCAACACGCCGGCTAACCCGAAAGACGCGTGCGACCTCAACACTGGGCCTGGCTACATCTCACCAGCCCTCATACAATCATATCTCCCACTCATACGTCGGGACGCACCCGGCCACGTACGGGGTCTGTCAACACGCCGGCTAACCCAAAGACGCGTGCCGACCTCACACTGGGCCTGGCTACATTCTCACCAGCCCTCACACCATCATATCTCCCACTCATACGTCGGGACGCACCCGGCCACGTACGGGGTCTGTCAACACGCCGGCTAACCCAAAGACGCGTGCGACCTCACACTGGGCCTGGCTACATTCTCACCAGCCATCATACCATCATAACTCCCACTCATACGTCGGGACGCACCCGGCCACGTACGGGGTCTGTCAACACGCCGGCTAACCCAAAGACGCGTGCGACCTCACACTGGGCCTGGCTACATTCTCACCAGCCCTCATACCATCATAACTCCCACTCATACGTCGGGACGCACCCGGCCACGTACGGGGTCTGTCAACACGCCGGCTAACCCAAAGACGCGTGCGACCTCACACTGGGCCTGGCTACATTCTCACCAGCCCTCACACAATCATAACTCCCACTCATACATCGGGACGCACCCGGCCACGTACGGGGTCTGTCAACACGCCGGCTAACCCAAAGACGCGTGCGACCTCACACTGGGCCTGGCTACATTCTCACCAGCCCTCACACAATCATAACTCCCACTCATACGTCGGGACGCACCCGGCCACGTACGGGGTCTGTCAACACGCCGGCTAACCCAAAGACGCGTGCGACCTCACACTGGGCCTGGCTACATTCTCACCAGCCCTCATACCATCATAACTCCCACTCATACGTCGGGACGCACCCGGCCACGTACGGGGTCTGTCAACACGCCGGCTAACCCAAAGACGCGGCGACCTCACACTGGGCCTGGCTACATTCTCACCAGCCCTCATACCATCATAACTCCCACTCATACGTCGGGACGCACCCGGCCACGTACGGGGTCTGTCAACACGCCGGCTAACCCAAAGACGCGTGCGACCTCACACTGGGCCTGGCTACATTCTCACCAGCCCTCATACCATCATATCTCCCACTCATACGTCGGGACGCACCCGGCCACGTACGGGGTCTGTCAACACGCCGGCTAACCCAAAGACGCGTGCGACCTCACACTGGGCCTGGCTACATTCTCACCAGCCCTCATACCATCATAACTCCCACTCATACGTCGGGACGCACCCGGCCACGTACGGGGTCTGTCAACACGCCGGCTAACCCAAAGACGCGTGCGACCTCACACTGGGCCTGGCTACATTCTCACCAGCCCTCATACCATCATAACTCCCACTCATACGTCGGGACGCACCCGGCCACGTACGGGGTCTGTCAACATCCGAGGAGGTACATAGGGTAGTGCATATAGCACTGCAAACTGACATTCAATTATAAAATCCATACATAATTTATACATTAAATTCTAATAATATAAACACCTTAATAAACAACTAGCATCCAATAATTCCCCATAATCCCCATAACATCAGGACCTGTCTCTATGGTCATTCTAACCCTCCTGAGAAGGTAGAACTATCCCAAAGGTCTCACAGTCAACCCAGGGTCAAACTACCCACGTTGGTCAAACGAGCCGCAGGGCCCACGACCTCCAATTTCCGATCCGAAAGTTCCTATAGGTTCTACAAGCTCTAGGATGCACGTCCTGCAAGTTTGGTCCAGATCGGACGGTCGGATCGCTCACGATCGCAGGATCGGATGGTTACTAAAACCCTAACCCCAGGGTTGGCATTTCCGGAGTATCCGGGACTCCGTTTTACGATCCGTCAAATCCTACACGATCCTGGTAATACCTAGATCAACATATTACAATCTCAGGACCATCCAACGGTCCAAACCCAGCGAACCCGGAAAATACGCGATATGCGATATCCGTTCGGGACTCTAACGGTACCCAAAATAAGATCCGAGCACACCTACGCGCTCATGACAACCTGAGGATCATTTTAGAACCTCGAGCCGGTCCATTTTCCTAGCCCACGCGCCGCCACACGCGCCGGCAGCGCGTGGGTGCCTTGAGTAATTTCCGGCGGCCGGGAAAACTCCAAACCGCCGGCCAAGCTTCCTATCCTAGATGTAAAACCCTATTCTGAGCCACTTTTGTTCTTGGGCATACCCCAAAATCTGACCGGAAGTGGCCGGAATCTCATCCCGAAATCCGGCCGAAACCCAATTCGTAAATCGAGTTGCCTACGCTACAAATCGATCAATTCCTACCCAACAGGCAGCTAGAGCTCGGAAAATAGGTGAGAAACCATACCTTGATCGCAAGATTTGGTGGCCGGAATCGCCGGAACGAGCTCCGGAAAATCTGGGTAAAAACCGGCCGTTTTTCTGCACTTTCCGGCGGTATCGCTGCCGGCTGACGTCGGAGAACAGGTGGGGTAGGACGGCGGAGTCAGGCCGGTCATTTTGGGACCGGTCCCGACCCGAGTGGTGGCCGGACGAATGAACGGCCGGCCAAAACGTGGCCGGCTGCGGTGGCGTCGCGAACCAGAGGAGAGAGAGAGGGACGCGCGGGAGAGAGAGAGTGTGAGAGAGACGGGGGCAATTCCGTCTTTTAACCAAAATCCCATTTCACAATATTTACGATTATGCCACTGAGCGTATTTGATCATATCTCTCTCGTTACAACTCCGATTCGAGCCCACTACGTGTCTACGAACTCATCTCGCCGTGCCCTACGCAACGGTACCTCCGGAATTCCCAAATTCCTTCCGAGTAAGAAATTGACTAAAATACCCCTATCCCACGGGTAAATTCTTAATTTCACTCAAATTAATTAAAATAGGGGATAAATTTGGGGTCGGGGTGTTACAATTAAACATTGTATATTTAAGGGCAAGGTCGTCATTTAATGTGAAATAAATTCGTGGTTTTCTTCTTTGTTAGGACTTGTAGTTTGCCAATTAAAAAAAAATGATTGCAAGTGGCTTGTAACTCAAGTGATTAAGAGTATTTATCCATTCACTTGAGGTCTTAGGTTCAATTCCCTCATCTATCAATATTGCTTGTAAAAAAATTAAAAATTAATAAAGTGCCATAAATGTTCAAATCTGAGACTATAGGTTTGCAAGTCAATGTTATTTTTCACTAGGCTATATGTTGCATGGACACTCAAGATACTCTCCAAATACTCATATTCAGGATCAGCTAATGTGTTAGTTCAATTATAATTCATAAGAAATTAATAAACTACATTTGAAAAACATGGAAAACTTGAACTTCACTATATATAATTGTGAAATTGAAGTATTAACATCAATATTTTGTTTTTCAATTAAATAATTATAAGTATTATTATTTTTTATTGTCCATTTTAGTTTTTTGTGATTTTCCGTTTTCCCGTATCCCTGTATTCCCGTCACCGTGTCACATATCCGTGTCGCCGTGCTGGTGTCCCTACAACACCTATACTCCTTTGGCTTTAGCTCAGGATTTTATTTCTAACAAAATTTAACAATAAATACCTGATCGAAAAATATTATGTGACGAGCTGCTGGTCTTCTGGATGAGAAATTTCCACTCTTATTAGGGGAAGATCCGCTCTTTTAGCCCACTTTTTTAGACATCTATTAGACCGTAGGGCACCAACGTCTTGATGTTTTACTGCTTTAAAGTGGTGGAAGTGATCGGTTTACTACCAAGAATCAGCCATGGCTTCTTCTTTACCGGTTGAACTCGTTTCTCTCTTAGAGAATGGACATCATGTGTGGGAGGACCAATCTCTCATCAAGTGGAGGAAGAGAGATGCACATGTCCCTTTACGTTGCCATGATTCAATTGAAGGTGAGAAACTAAACCCATTTCAATTTCAGTTTCGTATTTGGATTAAGAGTGTTTTCATGTTGCTGGAAGTTTTGCATTGTTTCACGTTGTCTTGTTAATTTTGGTTAATGGAGTTTTTTGTTGCTGGAATTTTGTAAATGTTTGGGATATAACTGTTAAGTCTGTTTGATTCAGAATCACATTCAATCTTCAGATGAAGAGTTCTATGAAGTGGGTTTATGATCGTGAATTAGGGGATTTCATGTGATAAAAATAATATGAAGTACTCATGTAATGCTAGTATATTATGAATGCATTTAGCTATTTTCTTTATTATAAATTTCAGGTTCTACATGCAATATTTATTGGAAATGACTTAGTAATGTCTTTTAGATGTTTCGACTTTGCAAATTATACAAACACACATTCAACGGGGGATGCAGGAATTGCCACTCATGGGATCATAGTGTAAACTACCCACCCAATAATTTTTTAAGATGAAAAAAAAAATTGAAAATGAAACGATAGTGTTTTCACTCATAATTAATGTCAAAAACAATATTACAAGTTCCAATTGTCCACGACGAGGTTTCATATTTTGAAAACGTAGCATTATAGCTTCATTTTCAATACAGGCAAAAACATCTCTCTCAATATAACCAACAAGCTATCATTCAACCACTCATCTCCTATTTTGTTTCGAAGTGGACCCTTAATAATATTCATGACGGAAAATACTCTCTTCATTGAAGATGGTGCTGGTGGAGGTCTTGGGGAGATTGGGATTAGGGTGTTGTTGAGGAGGAATATGAAAATGGGATTTTGGAGGTCTATTTTCGGGACTGTGCTGTTAAGAAGCTGCAGCCCCTTTTTTTATTTTTAAGTCCTAGCCCAAAACGACGTCGTTTTGGATAGGTCATTTTAAAAAAAATTGCATTGGCCAAAACGACGTCGTTTTGGAAAGCAGTTTTTTAAAATTTTAAAAAGAGAAAAGAACCCCAGCCCACCGAAGCTTCTTCTTCTCCATAGGGTCATTTCCATGGCTGCCAAGGGCAAAAACCAGTCCCTACCACTAAAATCCAGATCTGCCATGGGGTCGTCTGACCCCATTGGCCCCATGGTGGATCCGCCAGATTGAGTATGTATAGTAATTATGTATAAGCAAGCTCATCGATTGGCCTGACACATTTTGAATTTTTGTTGGAGTTTTGTTGCATTGGTTTTTGGTAAAAATGCATTTTCTTAAATATGAAGAGTGAATAGGGAAACATGTTATGCAGTTGTGAATATGTGTAGAATCTCACATTGTTCAGAAACTGCATCATGGTATGGTATATGAGCTTGAGCTTGAGTTGCATCTTGCCATCAAGATGAGCTTTTGGTATAGGAACATGGGACAGGAATCTTGTACCTATTCCCAAGCCTTGAAATCACGAAACGTGGTCTACGTTATAGGCACATAGAGGGATTCTAATTGGTATAATGGTTTGGGTCCATGATGCGGAACCCCCCCTCTAAGTTCTGTGTGTTATTTTATCTTATCATTGGCTTGGAATCTTACTTCTTTTCTATTTCTTTTAGAAGATATCTGACGTTCATTATGTGGTGTAGGATCTCTTAAATACTGGTATGAGCGCAACAAAGTGAATTTTCTGGTATCCAACTCTGCTGTTTGGGATGATGCTGCTGTTCCTGGAGCTCTTGATAGCGCGGCCCTTTGGGTCAAGGACTTGCCTTTTGTGAAGTCTTTGTCAGGCTATTGGAAATTCTTCTTGGCTTCCAGTCCTAGAAATGTTCCTGTAAATTTTTATGACACTGCATTTCAGGATTCTGAGTGGGAAACCTTGCCAGGTAAGCATATATGTATCTTTCACTTTTTCTTGCCTTAAAATCTGACAAACCTACACATAAATATTTGGTATGCTGTGTTAGAATATAGCAGTGATAGTTGTTTCATAAAATCATTAATGAAATTTGTTTCATTGCAAAATATGTATCTATACCTGCATGCCAGAAACTTATTGCATCGTTTTACTTCAACTACGATTTTTCTCTGTGCTGTTTCTATATATATTCTTATTTGCAACAGTGTAGTATTGCATTCGAGGTAATTTTATGGCTAAGTGAGAGAATTTGAAAGGAGTAACGTGTATGAAATGTTTGGGTTATAATGAGGGGAATTTTAATATTTTTTATTTTTAGTTTTTTCTGTATTTCAGTTAGCTTATGTAAGAGTCAGCTTCACATGAGAGTTGGGATCCAATCTTAACTTCACTGTGGATTAGCTTCAAGGAAAGAAAGGGAAAAACTTCCATTTTATTGCTTGTTGGCTACTGGTTATTCTCATAGAGGATTTTCGCTATCATAAATTGGCCTTTTATTTTACTATTCGTTTTCTTTAAAGAGAGATACGCATATGCGTTAGCGAAACTGTTCAGTAAGTGCCGCTCACAAATAAGTCAGTTCTTTCCAGATAATAAATTGTGCTTTGAACTATAGGCGCTAACTGAAGCTTGTATAATTGTGAAAATTCTTTTCTAAGTGCTTGTACTATGATTTCATGATTCCGTATTTATTTTATTTTGTTCTCCAAAATAGAAAATTTAAGAATACTTTGATAACCTTATTCCTTGTAGTGTTTTGAGCTTTAGCAATAGCATATGGAACAAATTTATGAATGATTTATGTTATAAATTTATCATGATTTTTCAAATCTAACACATGCAATTATTATCCAATGACCGTGTCTCATTATTTTGTGTTCTCTCATGGAACAGTTCCTTCAAACTGGCAGATGCATGGATTTGATCGGCCTATTTATACAAACGTTGTTTATCCATTTCCACTTGATCCACCTTTTGTTCCTGTGGACAACCCTACTGGCTGCTATAGGACATACTTTCACATTCCTAAAGAATGGAAGGGTATGATCCATTTGATTGCCTTGCTGATTGTAGCTGCTTACTATTTATTGGTGCTTTTTTATTCTTTTGTTTTTATTTTTCTTTGTTGTTCCCTTTTACATTATGCTTACTGATCAGTATTCTATCAAACCTGTACTACTTATATCTTGTATGCATCGAAGTAAGTTTTATTTTCCACTTTGTAATGTAACCATTTTGAAATGTAATATGTAGCGCAATATGACCTGAATTTGTGTTAATGATTTGAAATGTGGCTAATAGAAGTATTGCCTCACAGATTGGATTTTCTGCTATATGTACGTACGAATGCATGCATGCACCTATATTACAGTCACAGACACACACACACACACACACACAAAATGACATTTCCATGACATCCCTCAACTCTGTTGATCATTCTTTCTGTGGGCAAAATTTATATGACATGTTTACCATTTGACAGGTCGCAGGATTTTGTTGCATTTTGAAGCTGTTGATTCTGCATTCTGTGCATGGCTAAATGGGGTCCTGATAGGATATAGGTAATAAATACTTGTAAGAAGTTTTGTGAATTATCATAATTATCCTGTAGGTGGATGCTTTTATGCTATACCCTATGTCATACTTCCATTCATGGAGTCTTCTCAGCGTGTGTTACTGTTTTCTGAACATATGCATTTTACATGGAATTTATCTCAGTCAGGTATATGTTGACAGATTAAGATTGCGCACATTTGTGAATAAGAGATACAGGGAGTGAGTTTAAGATGCTCATGGAGGATCTTCTTTTGCAATCTACTATTTTTCACTTTTCTCTTTCGCAACATACAAATTAAAAGTTAAATATAAAATGCAAAAAGAGAGAGTAACCCACATGGAATATAAAGAACTTAAAGTCCCCAACTCTTAAAGCTGAGTATGGATACTGTTTTGTTGCTTATAAATAATTTATCAAGTAAATAGAATAATGTATATCGTGCTGAGAGTCTTTTGCTACCATATGGTTTAGCAAGAAAAGGGGCATTAAATTGTTAATAACTTAAAAATGAAGCATGGTGAGTATGACATGACTGAGTTGTACTAATTACCAATCTTTGAACATAGCTTCCTTTTTTTTTTCTTTCCCTTTTTTCTGTTAATGTATTGTTTATCATACCAAGAATATGTATTACCCTTGAAAGGAACTTTGTTTAATAAATGGTCCAGCCGCTGAATGATCTGACTTAAATATTTTGTTTCTTTTTGGTGGTGGGGAAATTCTTGGGAAGTTTCATTTTGAATTATTTGATGGTTGTTTAATCAGTTAGGAATTCGGATGTTAGTAGAGTCTTGTTTACTTTTTCACAAGTAGAAAATGAATCCTACGCATTTGAGATGGTCATATGTGCACTTGTCGGTTTTGTAACCGTATCACCGAGTACATACAACTATATCAAATTGAAGATTGTTTTCCACATATAAGGGATGCATGGTTTGGTAGGAATCCCCTGTGAGATACGTTAACAAACTTTTCAATATCGTGCTAGGTCAGTCAGGACAGTAGACTTCCTGCTGAATTTGAAATCACTGATTATTGTTATCCATCTGATATGGACAAGAAAAATGTACTAGCTGTTCAAGTATTCAGATGGAGTGATGGCTCCTACCTTGAAGATCAAGATCATTGGTGGTTATCTGGCATTCATCGTGACGTGCTTCTTCTTTCCAAGCCACAGGTCTTTATTGTCTTCTTTCTTGCCTTTATATCCTCTCTTTTAATTACAATTGGTACTTCTTGGAATTAGTACATAGTTGGTGACTGGGGACAAGCATGTATACATTCATGATTTGCATGGCTACTTTTCTATCATAAGATCACTCCATCTCTTTGCAAGTCATTATCTTCCTTTCCCATTTTGCAAAATCGACACATTGGAGGCAAAGAATTAGGACAGTTAATGCTATATGGAAATCTGACCTAGTTCTTCAATGTTCTAAGCCATATTTTATTTTGATTACACATATAGATTATCTAAATTATTTCCTTATTCTTTAACGTAAACTGGTAATGTGCTGCTACCTGTACTGGAGCATTGCATAATATTAAATCCTAAAAAATAACTGATGTGCAGGTATTCATTGCAGACTACTTTTTCAAATCAACTCTGGCTGAGGATTTTTCTTATGCAGACATACAGGCAAGTATTTATCAATCGAGGATGGATCTTTTTGTTTTTACAAAGTATTAAGTACAAACAATATTTTGCAGTTTTGTCTAGATGGTTGACCTCTTGCACATAACTGGACAATAATTTGTAACCCATTGAATCATATGATAAACTCCAAAAACAATAAAGGATACAGGAAATGTCTAATGTGCTTAGGTTAGAGAAATTCCTGTCTGTTAATGGTTTTTATTAATACTATCTGATTATATGCGCATGTGCTCACTTTTTTTTCTTCTTTTGAGTATCGCAGTGTCTGTTAATGTAGACTGTCATTGATTTATCAGTCAAGATTTTGGAATCTACCCTTGTATCAATGTGCAATATGATGAGATTATGTTCTCTTCTCAGTGCTATTGCCCTACATTGAAAACATTTTAAAATATTGTTGTCTTGCACTTTTGACCAGGTTGAAGTGAAAATAGATAACTCCAGAGAAACATCTAAAGATAGCGTTCTTGCAAACTATGTTATAGAAGCTGCATTATTTGACACTGCGTGCTGGTACAGCATTGATAGATATGCTGACCTGCACTTGTCCAATGTGGCTAGTATAAAGCTTAATCTCTCATCCAGCACGAGTCTGGGGTTTCATGGTTATTGGCTGGTAGGGAGACTGGACATGCCGAGGCTTTGGTCTGCAGAGCAAGTGAGGAATTATTATTTTTTGTTTCTTCCTAGTTTGTTCCTAAGCTAAAACCCTTTTAAGCAATATATACTTTCTTGCTTATTGATATTCTCAACTTTGTTGAGTCATTGGAGTTACCAAAAATGTCTGTCAAGTGCTGGAAGTACCCTGGCACTGGGAATTTTTTAGGGTGCTGCACCGTTTAACCTAATGTGTATGTTTGTGTGTGCTGCACCGTTCTGTTTATATAACTTAGTTTGCTTTTCTTGTGGGAAAAATGGTCAACTGTAAATATGTTAAATTAAACAGTCTAAGAAATAGATTTTTCTCATTCATATGACTCCAGAGTTTGTGAAAATTTCTTTTAACTTAAATTTAATGCCTTAAAAGACCATGGTTGAGTCTTCTTTCTACCTTGAGCTTCAATGGGGTGATATTGTGAATACTACGTAGGTGACTACAAACTTTCCCCCTTACCTAAGCATTAGCTAGGGTTAAGGGTTAGTCAAGTCATGTTGAAAGTATGGCTTTGGTACTTTCTTGCTCCATTTAAGCATAAAGTAGATGGATGACTCAAGCATAATAGTAAGAAAAGACGTTTTGAGAAAAACAAAAAATATACATTAGATAAATCATGATATGAAACTAAAAGTTTTGTAGCCCCAATAACAAGAAGTATCTAAAACCTTGCATTGTACATTTGGTGGTATTTTTCTTTTTCTTTTTCCTTCTTATGGGCAAATGCTAAAGCCTTGTACATTAGCTTAGGAAAAGAATATTAAAGTATTCAATCATATGGTTTGTTATCACTATGTAACACAGTGTTCTCGGTTATTAATTAGATGTTTTTATCTTCTCATCTTTCATATAAGATCAAACGGTTTCATGATGATGATTCGTTTCCCAGAGTTTGTGTTACAGTATTTGCTTTTGAACTCTTTTCCTGTGTCCGACATACATATTTCATAACTGATGTTTACCGTGTGCAGCCAAGCCTGTACACTCTTGCTGTTACATTGAAAGATGCATCTGGCAACCTTCTGGACTGTGAATCATGCCTAGTAGGCATACGGCAAGTATCAAAAGCCCCCAAACAGCTGCTTGTTAATGGGCATCCAATAATAATAAGGGGTGTGAACAGGCATGAGCATCATCCACGTCTGGGGAAGACAAACATAGAATCCTGCATGGTTAAGGTAACACATACTTTACTTCTCCTTGTCTGTTCTCTGCTAGCCAAGTTGATTTGAAACTGGAGTTGATGGTTCTTGGAATTTTAATCACTATTCTGTGTACAGGATTTGGTTTTAATGAAGCAATACAATATCAATGCTGTGAGAAACAGTCATTATCCCCAACATCCTCGTTGGTACGAGCTCTGTGATTTGTTTGGCATGTACATGATAGATGAAGCCAATTGAAACCCATGGTTTTGATCTTTCTGGGCATGTGAAGCATCCTACTTTGGAACCCAGCTGGGCTACTGCAATGATGGACCGTGTGATAGGCATGGTTGAGAGAGACAAAAATCATGCTTGCATTATCTCTTGGTCCTTAGGGAATGAAGCTGGATATGGACCTAATCATTCTGCTTTAGCTGGTAAACCGCTGTTCTTTTATCATATCCATATCTTTGTCCAGCTTCGAAGGAACTTTTGTTATTACTTTGTACTTGTTCGAGAATTATTGCTTCACCTCGACATATTTCTCCTAGAAGATATATTCATTTTACAGAAGTGGACAATGGGAATCATTTTGTGGCTTTAGTAAGTTACCTTGAATGATGGTGATGGATTTGGGTTCAAAATTTTGAAAATAAGGAAATGATGGTCAGAACTGGCGTTCATCTGGGAATGGGCCTTACTTTAGGCAATCTACAAAGCTTTAGACGTAATTTTGAGTAATTGATATATAATTAATTATACTAAAGTTGAGTAAGTAAGTTAACATCACCTTTTTCTATAATTTGGACAATATTCTATCTTTGTATTTTATTTTTCATTTTTTAAAATGTTAGTGTTTCTTATGAAAAATTATTATTATTATTATGATCACCCTCAAAATTTTGAACAGTATAATTGAAGTTGCATGTAAGGCATCTCTTCCCCCCCCGGTTTCATATCACTCATGGTTTTCAAGACTTGTTCACCTGAATTTAGGCTGGGTTCGTGGAAAGGATCCCTCACGGCTGGTACATTACGAAGGGGGTGGATCCAGAACCTCATCCACAGATATTGTATGTCCCATGTATATGCGGGACTGGGACATGTCGAAGATTTCGAGAGATCCAGATGAAACACGCCCTTTGATATTGTGCGAGTATGTACATTTTTTCACTTTTCCCATTTTTATATTGTTTGAGCAAAGTTTGTTGGTTTACCATTATTCCCAATGTTTGAAGATGAGTCAAATGTTATTTATATTCTGGCACTTCTCACCTTTGGGCCCCTCCACCAATAGAGTCGAACACGTGAAATTCAACTTATATAGGGAGGTTGCAAACCAAAAAAAAAAAAAAAAAAGAAAGAGGTTGCAGTTTTTGCTCTACACCTTTATCAGGATCTCTTGCTCTTACCATGCAAAAGTTTGTTGCTTTACCACTGCTCCCAAATTCTTAAGCTATTAGAATTTGGGCCAAATGTATTCTAAACTGCTAATTTCATTTTGTAAAGTTATACAAGATACCTCTGTTTATGCTCATGGCAATGCAAATTTCTTCACTTAAAAGTTTGAGCAAATAATGGCAGGTATTCACCTGCAATGGGAAACAGCAATGGGAATTTACATGAATATTGGGAAGTAATTGATAGCACATTTGGTCTTCAAGGAGGCTTTATCTGGGATTGGGTTGATCAGGTCAAGTATCCTTGCTGTTCATAAGAAATGCACTGATGATTTATCAACATTACATTAAATATTGAGTTTCAAGCCATCTTACACTCTTGAAACCCCTTTACTTTAATTTACTGGGCATAACCACATAACATCAACATAAAATTGAAACTGGTAAATATCATCATCATTTTCTTCTTCTTATCCCCCAACCACCAACCACCAACCCCTAACCTCTCTCTCTCTCTCTCTCTCTCTCTCTCTCACGAAATCTTTGTTGTTCAGAACCAGAAATTACATCAGGGGGTAATAGATTTTCTCTTTGTATATAGGCCCTATTGAAGGATAATGCAGATGGTAGTAAGCGTTGGGCATATGGGGGTGACTTTGGTGATGTTCCTAATGATTTAAACTTCTGTTTGAATGGCCTTACATGGCCAGATCGAACTCCTCATCCAGCACTGCATGGTAAGTTGATGATTTATGTTATACTTACAAGTACCTCTGTCCTTTGAGTTCTTTAAGATAATATTTGTACATCATTTTTAATTTATTTTCATGTCTCATTTCTTTGGTTATTGTTTTCAGAAGTCAAGTATGTGTACCAACCGATCAAGGTTTCATTTAGCAAAGAAACACTAAGGGTAAGTTTCACATAGTATTTGCTTTCATTTTATTTTATTATTTTCCGGAATACTTCTTTACCTGAAATACACCTTGCAGATAACAAATACCCACTTTTATAAAACAACACAAGGATTGGAGTTCAGCTGGGATGTTCATGGGGATGGATGCAAACTTGGATCCGGAATTCTACCTTTTCCGTTGATTGAACCTCAGAAGAGTTATGATATTAAGTGGCGGTCAGCTCTGTGGTATCCTCTATGGACTTCATCATCTGCAGAGGAGTATTTTTTAACAATAACAGCTAAGCTTTTGCGTTCCACACGCTGGGTTGAAGCTGGTCATGTTATCTCATCTACCCAAGTCCAGTTGCCTTCCAACAGAGAAATTATTCCTCACGTAGTTGCTTTTGCTTAATACCCACTTTGACAATAAGAATGAAGTTTACATGTTTTGTCATATAAAAACATTTTTACAATTGGCCTTGATTTCCAGGTCATCAAGACTGAAGATGCTACGTTTGTCTGTGAAACTCTTGGGGATAAAATTAGAGTCAGCCGTCATAGCTTTTGGGAGATCATATTGAGTGTTCAAACGGGAACAGTTGACAGCTGGACGGTATTTTACACCATTGTTATTTTCATTTTTTTTGTTGATAACACATTTTTCTTTATAAAACCAAAGTTATTTTAAGAATGATTTCCCTCCAGGTTTTATGATTGTAGTTGCCTGGTTATTGTTCTATTTTCTGTTGGGATAAGCATTGTATGATTTTTCTTTTTTGTTCCTAAGGATGTTCCGTCTCGTGTGGATTGAGGGTTGCTTATTTGTTTCCTATTTAAAAAAAAATGGTAGGTCGAAGGAGTTCCTTTGATGACGAAAGGCATATTTCCATGCTTCTGGCGAGCACCAACAGATAATGACAAAGGAGGAGGTGCCAGTAGTTATTTCTCCTTATGGAAAGCTGCTCATATTAATAACCTTCATTATATTACCCAAAGCTGTTCTATACAGAATAAGACGGACCATCTTGTGAAAATAGCTGTGGCTTTTCTTGGTGTTCCAAAGGAGGAGGGTGCTTTATTAAGGAGGAAAAAGATAAAAATTGAAGTTGATGTGATTTACACAATTTACGGTTCAGGAGACGTTGTTGTTGAATGTAATGTAAGACCAAGTTCGAACCTTCGACTTCTGCCACGTGTGGGAGTTGAGTTCCATTTGGATAAGTCAATGGATCAGATTAAGTGGTATGGAAGAGGACCATTTGAATGTTATCCAGACAGAAAAGCAGCTGCTCATGTTGCGGTCTATGAGCAGAAAGTGGATGACATGCATGTCCCTTATATAGTTCCTGGGGAATGTTCAGGTAGGGCAGATGTTAGATGGGTGACGTTCCAAAACAAGGATGGTTTCGGAATATATGCATCAGTGTATGGCAGCTCTACGCCTATGCAACTAAATGCAAGTTACTACACCACAGCTGAGCTTGATCGGGCAACGCATAATGAAGATCTTATCAAAGGAGATGACATTGAGGTAATTTCTTCTACATCATCAATCCATATCTTTCATTTCAGTACCAGTAGATTGTTTCTGGACATCCATTATGAGTAATATACAGAGGATGGTTTATGGTTCAGGGTCTAGGGTTTATGGTTTACTGTGTTACAGGTTCATCTTGATCACAAGCACGTGGGCCTGGCTGGGGATGATAGTTGGTCGCCCTGCGTCCACGACGAGTATCGGGTTCATGCTGATCCATACTCATTTTCAATTAGGCTGTGCCCGATAACCCCTGCAACCTCTGGCCAAGTCATGTACAAAACTCAACTTCAAAACTAGTAGACATGATGGGCTCGAGAACTTGGTAATGAGTACCGAGTGATTGACAATGTATGTGGCCATGAATAAGATGTCTAGCTCATTTGCAACAAATAATATAAAGGCAAAACTTATCAGTCTGTAATATTCTGATTATGAAACATTTGTATTTAATAGTGCTTTTGTCTGAAGCATTTTAGTGGTGGATCATGCCTACTACAATCAATCTAAGCAATTTAGTACTTGCCCTCCTATTTGTCACTTTACTTAACCAGTATAAGCAGCGGGTTCTTATTTTGTTGAATTCTTCCCATAATAAGAATGCGACCGCATTCCTATGGACGTGGCAACTTCTTGAGATTAGCCAGATGCTTGTTTCTTTGGTTTTAGTGAAGCCACTGATGGTGTCAAGTCATTGATTCCAAAACATTAGGTTGTTATAAGCCAAGGTGGAGCAGACAAACCTAATATAATCAAAACAAGCTTGATTATAAAGGACGTTTGTCAAATTGGTATCATGTAATATATACATATATATATATATATGTGGTTATAATTCTATGAACAAAATATAATGATTATCGTATCTCTGCATATAAGAGGGCGCCAACCACAACCATTAAAAATTGAAGCAAGGCAATGAAGAAAACCCAGAGAAAGAGTACCCAAAACCATTCAAAATTGAAGATCCCAGATCAGGGCAATACTGAAGCACAAAATTTCAGGGGCCAAGAGAGAAAGAAACACGCTCAAACTGACGTTAACATGTGTGAGTTTTGGGAAAAAAAACAATAACTCCAAGTTTAATGACGTTTCATGTTTTAAGACGTTAGATTATTAGAATGGTTTGGTGACAGGACCAATCCTGAATTCCCTTTGGAACCCATGACGAACCCTGTTGCCCATCCGGTGTCAGGCCCACTTTCTAAAATAACTCTCTTCCCTGAACAACAACAGAAAAAGGTCGAGACTTCTACCAAAATTTCGGCAGTCTCTCCTGGAAAACGAATAAATCCTAAAATTTTCCACTGGTAAAAACAACACATTAAACATCCCAACTGGCAACACACACAATGCCAAAGCACACAGTTCACAAAGTAGGCATCCGACCTCAATTTCTACCCTCCGTGGGCAATATCAGAGCAATATAAGAAATTCTTAGTTACACAACCAAAAGTAGTTTTCAAAGGAAATAAACAACACAAAAATCTTACGATTGAAGTCGAAAGCGCGGGAAGAGTGGCTTGGATTCACGAGTCACGTCAAACTACGGCCTGAAGGGAGCAAAACATAAATTGTGAGTGTACAAAAATAGAGTTTGAACATAGTTATAATCAAATGTACTAACCCCACCGTTTTATGAAAACAATGAAAACATTCACTGCAAGCACTCCAAGTGTAAGTGCACGATGACCATGTGGTGAAAATCAACCCTCTCATTTGTGGGCCACTTAGTGCCGACTTTGATGGTGATTGCATCCACCTGTTCTATCCCCAGTCGCTTGCTGCAAAGGCAGAAGTCTTGGAGCTTTTTTCAGTGGAGAAGCAGCTGCTTAGCTCTCATAGTGGAAAGCCAAATTTGCAATTGGTCACTGATGCACTATTGTCATTAAAGATGATGTTCAAGAAATATTTTTTTGGACAAAGCAGCAGCACAGCAACTGGCCATGTTTGCATCATCTTCATTGCCACGACCGGGTTTAATGAAAGCAAATTCTGCTCTTTCATATTGGACTACTTTTCATATATTACATACTGCATTGCCAGCTCACTTCGACTGCAGTGGCGATACAACTACTTGGTCAACAAAAGTGAGATACTGAATATTGATTTTAGCACAAGTTCTGTAGCAGCTGTGATGAATGACATTGCTACCTCTGTGTTCTTTGAGAAAGGTGGTGAAGATGTTCTGAAATTCTTTGATTCTCTACAGCCCTTGCTGATGGAGAATTTATTTTCAGAAGGGTTTAGTGTTGGTTTGGAAGATTTTTCCATGTCCAGGGCATCCATACAAGACATTCAGAAGAATATTCAGGATAGTTCTGATTTGTTGTATCATTTGAGGTCAACGTACAATGAGTTTGTAGAGTTTCAATTGCAGAATCGCATCAGAAGTGTGAAAGTACCAGTTTCACATTTGATCTTGGAGTCATCTGCATTGGGTGATTTAATCGACTCCAAGAGTGATTCAGCCATTAACAAAATTGTTCAACAAATTGGATTCCTAGGCCTGCAACTTTCTGATAAAGGAAAATTGTTGCGTCTATCCGAGTGCAAGTAGTCACATGTAGTAATAATCTTGGAAGTCCAAGTATCGTATCCTCAAGGAGCAGGTAGACAAATATCTGTATACAAAGAAATAATTAAACGTACCACAATAAAAGTGACAAGCAAAATGGAAAAGTAATCTGATTTGATTGTTGTGGAAATTGAGTTTGAAAATGAAATATCAATAATGGAAATGCTAAGGCATCAAGGTTCAATTATTTAAACAAAATATGTTTCATGCTCTTGAATCCAAATTATAACTCGATTAAAATCATTATTGAGAAACTTTAACCGGAAGATAAAGAAATTAAAACCAATTTAATTTTCAATGTAATCTTTTATTAATGATTATTCAGAAAATGAAGTTGCTTAATATCTACTCTTTTAATTTAAAAGCATGCCAAGTCAGTTCTTAACAATGAGAAAAATATAATTGAACTCATGAAAAGATAATAGCACTTAACATCAATCAAAATAAAAGGATATGAAAATATTGAACAACAAAAAATAAAAGAATTTAGCAATTCATACCGTATATTGGATTAAAGAAAAATTCACAAACTTACTCAAAGAACATTCCCTTTAGCCTTAGCTAGAGTTCTAGCAACTCATTGCAAAGGAAAACATAAACTAAATGGATAAAAAAATCTATCGTAGGGTTGCCCTTGCCAAATAAGTTGATGGGTGATTTATAGTAGTTAATGAGGTGAGTGGGATGTTAATACATTCGTGGTGGGTGATGAAGGGTTTAATTGAGGGATTAATTGGATTAAACATGTGTTGATGGTGGAGAGTTAGTGGAAAAGAAATAACGGTGAGGTAAGTGGGCGTTAAATGGCTATGAATGACATGAAATAGGCTCTTTAGCTTCAACAGTTTTGTCTTCTCTTCTCCCTCTTTACTTCTCTTTATAATCACAATAATCCCACAATCAATTCTTCAATTAAATCCGCTAGCAATTCTCTTCACACCTAGCCCGAACTTGGACAAATGTATGTCTTCACCTTTTGGCTTTACAACATCCTACATAAGATAAATTCACCTAATAAGTTCACCAAATTAATATAGAAAATTCATAAATCCAGTTGGTGAGAATAAAATGTAACAAGTTATATTCATTAAGCCAAAATTATATCATAAAGTCTCCAAAATAATAGTAAAAAGATGTAATTTGAGACTCTCATCAAAGATTCTACTCTAAGACATTGGTTGAGGGTGTGGCCTCTCTTTGTCATAGTAAATATCATTCTGACATTGATTATCCCTCTGCTGAATATGGACTAGTTCAAAGCTATTTTTTTTCATGGGTTAGATCCATATGAGGCGATAGTTCACTCCATTGCTACATGAGAGGTGATTGTTCGGTCCTCAAGAGGATTCTCTGAATCTGGGACTCTATTTAAAAATTTAATGGCCATTCTTCGCAATGTTGTTATTTGCTATGATGGCACCGTCAGAAATGTCTGTAGCAACTCAATAATCCAATTTGAGTATGAAGTCAATACTGGATCTAGGCACCAGCATTTATTCCCTGCTGGTGAACCTGTTGGTGTGTTAGCTGCAACTGCAATGTCAAATCCTGCTTATAAGGCAGTTCTGGATTCTACCCCAAGCAGCAATTCTTCATGGGAGCTGATGAAGGTAGTTAGTTTTGGCTATTGATTATGACTGTTTCTTTCTTTTCAAAGCTTGAATTTTATCTATTATGTTTTCTTTCGCAGTGCATACATAAAGGCTTGTTGATGCTCTTTTTGGGAGGTCAACTTAGAGAGAAGTGGATAGTCTTCAGCGGGGGAGAAGGTGAGGACCTTTGGTAAGGGAAGAGCCTGTAGATGACAAAATAGGAGAATCAGTCGTTAAGCTTCGGGCACCAGTGTGGTGCCAGCCGAAGGCTCTCCGATGCTTAAGTCAGCTATGAGTGGTAAATTTGGCAGAGTAACAGTAAAGGTAAGAAAATAGTTTCCCTTTATACTTGGGTACTGTTCCCTATTTATAGGGAAGTGAAAGTGTGTGGTTTGCACAAAGTTTCGATGTGGGACTTTGTGCAAGTTCGCGATTAAGAAGTAACTTCTAGGTTGGGAACTAGTGAGTTTTTTGTGTAATCATGATCGAGCATTCCAAATTCACTGGGAGCCGTAGGGCATTCCCTAGTCCCCCAAGTTAGCAAGCTAGAAGTTGCGTCAATACTTGGAAGGTATGGTAGAAGCTGTGTGAGCCTCTGGAACTGTTGGTAGCTGGGTACCTGGGCGTTGGGCAAGGAGAAGCTAGGTGACCCTTTGGGTTTATGGTGTGAGCAAAACTCTCCAGCAGGTCACCTTTGAGAAAAGTAGACTGGGGCCCCTCAAGCTTCGGTAGGAGGTGATTTGCGAGCCCCATACATTCTGCACTGTGCTTGCCGTTTAGCAGGGATTTCCCTTTTTTTTTCTTTTTTTTTGGGCTCTTAAAAGGCCCCCCTGCTTCAGCTGGGCTCTTGCCGTTCGGCAAGGTACAAGGAAGGGCCCTTTTGTGAGCCTTCGGTTTGGGCCTAAGAGCTGGGCCGTCTTCGGGTGGTTCTTTAGGGCTGGGCTTCGGTAGGATTTTGCTTCACTAAAAAATTTTTGGTTGGCTAAGTGTCGTTTAGCAAGGTTTTAAGGTCCTTCCCCTCTTCAACATAGGGGACGATTTGCACGCTTCGAGAGTTACCTCCATGATTCCTCGCATTGGCAAGGCTCCGTGACCTCTTGTCTCGGCAAGGCTGAGTATCGGCCAGGGTTTGTAACTTCGGTGTGGGTGGATCTTGCAATCACGCTTCGGTGTCGGCAGGGTCAAAAGAGGTTGACATCATTTGTCATTTTGGCAAGGATTTGGGTCCTTGGGTCTGTGCAATCGACTTTAGTCAGCTCGTTAGCCCCCTTCGGCAAGTGTCCTCGTGAGTGCGTTTACTGTGCTCAACCTTCGCTGTTCGGCAAGGGTAGATTGAAAGGTGGAGGTCTTGGAGGAGGGTTCGGCAAGGTGATCCTCTTGTGTAATGTGCACACTGTTCGGCAAGGGTTTGGGGGGAATTTTGGTGATGCCTCGTGAGAGGTGGGGTGGTTCGAGCTTCGCAGAAGTGATTTATAGGAGCGTCCGCTCCTTTTGATGATTCTTGCCGTTCGGTAAGAAGCCAGGCCTCAGTAATTTTCGAAGCATTTCCCACGTACAACATGGTTTGACTTTGGAAGAAGGTTCTTGCTGATCGGCTAGGAAGCAAGAAGGTGGTTCTTGTGGAGCTTGATGTCGAAACCGGAGGTTGGGACTTGTGAAATTTTGGGCATGGGCCTTGTGACTACAGTGTAGTTGGCTGGATCCTTTTGGATTCGGCAAGGGATTATTTAGAAATTCGGCAAGGTATGTTGTTTGTGTCCTTGAAATAATTTTTTCATGGGCCTTGCCGTTCGGTAAGGCCAGTTTGAGTTGTACTCCCGCTTGGCAATTTCAATCTTAATCGAGTGTGTGTCTGGCAGGTTCTAAACAATAGGAGATTGGAGGCCGGGCTCCTAAATTGGAGCTGGGGTTTAGCTTTGGTACCCAAGCTGCGGCATCCTTCTTCGCGTGCCGTTCGGAAAGTGTCTCAGGAGAGAGAGGTGAGGCCTTGTGGCCTTGGCATAGCTGTAATTTGGACTATAGGATTTTTCGTGAGCCTCGTATCTTCAGCACATCCCTTGCCGTTCGGCAAAGGTGGTCAGGTATCGATCGTTTGTTATTTTGATGGCCCCAAAAATGCTTAATTTCAATGTGTGCACCGAAATGCAACTCAAGTGCCAATATGGGTTCAATCTTGAACTTGGTTTCAGGTCTTTGGTGTCAGGCCATTGGGCTTTGGAAGAGTAGAGATTCGGCAATTGAGTGGAGCTGGGCTCTTGGATTTTGGTCAAGAGCTTCGGCAAGTAGATCGAGTTCTACTCGGTAAGACTTTGCGAGGCCCCCCAGTTGCTTCTCCACGGTGCCTGCCGTTCAACAAGGCCTTTTCCATTCCTTTCTCTGTTTGTCTTTTTGTTAATGTGAAATTTGAAATTCAAATTGTGGAGCAGGTACAAGGAATTTAAAAAGGAAGATGAAAGGGTGTTAGGGTTTTCTCGTGAATCGAGGCGTTGGTATCCTTGAGGCTTTATAAATAGGAACTTGGGGTGATGAAGGCATCACACTTGAGTCTTTGAGAAAAACAATTTAGAAAGTGAGAAGGAGAAAAGGAGATTTTCGGCGAGATTTTGGTGGTAGTGCTTGTGGCCAAGGTGATTTCCGGCATCTTATTCGTGGTGGTGCAAACAAGATTAGATCTCATTTCCCTTGAACTTTTAAATTGAAATGTCCTTTTTGGTATGAACATGTTGAAGACTAGGATGAACACTTTGAATATGAGTATGAACTTGATGAACACCTTGAACATTGATATGAACTTGTTGAATGCATGCTTCTAGAGCAAATAGCATGTAGGTGTGCCATCCTTTTTGTGTTCTTGTGTTTTCGATCCTTCTTGCATGTGCATTAGTTCTTTTTCCTTGTTTCTACATATTGTAGATGTCTAAAAGTTCTGGTAGAGAAAGTCATGACCTCCTTGCCTTTGGTGAGGAAGATACTGAAAGTGAGGAGGCCAGCCTATATGTTTGTTCCGAAGATGAGAGTTCCGAGACAGAGGGTGTGGTAGAGGGTGTTATAGAAAGTAGGATGATAGTGCATGAGGGTGAGGGGGGTGAGCCATTAGTAGACTTTGGGTCAGCTGCATATAAGAAGATGCAAAGGAATTACAAAGTGTTAGAGCCTATAGCTGATTGAGTTCTAGCCTTACCTCATACACCAGAGGTTGGCTCGAATATTCAGGCATCACCCTCAGGGTCCGTGGGCGTAGCTGTGGCTTTAGCTTCAGAGGGAGTAGACATACAGGTTGGTGTCTCGTTGGCGAGGCGGAATACACTTACAGAAGTAAAGTTGGCTGAGCTTCGGACAGATTTTAGGGTTCCACCCTATGTGGGCTTGAGGTTACCCACTGCAACTAATGTGGTTAGATATCCTCTAGAGGGCTTTGTGTTGATTTTTACAGATATGTACCCGCATGGCTTCAGATTACTGTTTCATCCCTAGGTGCAGATGATGTTGACCAAGCTAGGGTATGTGTCGGGGCAATATAATCCCAACTTTTGGATTCTTCTGCATGGGGTTTACATCGCTTGGTGGTTGGCTGGGTTGGGGGAGACAACATTTGAGCAGTTCATGTACTTGTATTCGATTTTGAAGCAACAAGGAAATTTTGGCTGGGTACAAGACAATTGTCGAAAGGAAAATGAAAGGGGTTATTTTATTGGTCACAAGCCTTCTACTCAGAAGTCCTGGAGGAACAGGTGGTATTTGGCCTACGGTGACTGGGAGTGTTCGTCAGGGAAGACCGTCACCAAACACGTTCCTACCTACTTTCAGTCTATAGGTCCTTGGCCCCATACTTTAAGACTGATTGTTGTTGTTTTGTGTTTTACCTGCTTTCAATCTTGGTTCTCCATTTTTGCTTGTGCAAGTGTAAATGGCTTAGTAGTATCTAACCTTTGGTGCAAGTTCGGTGAAGTGGGGGCCCATTTCCAAGAAGAAAGAAGACGAGGTTGAGAGGGTGAGGTCTCTGTTGTCAGAGACCGAGCGTGAGTACTAAAACCTAGTCACCTAGAAGAATTTGTTTGAGTCCAGACTTTTGCAAGGAAGTAAGTACTTGGGTCACCTTTGTTATTTGGCTTCTGATTCCTTTTTGTAGTGGTGACTAACTTAGGTTTTGATGTGCAGTGGCAGGTGTTATAAAGGGAAGCACGAAGGTGGTGGTGGATATTGATGAGGTCGGGATGCAGAAGCGAGTGAGGGAGTCTCGGGCTAAGAAGGCGGAGAAGGGCATTGCCCAACAGGTGACTGGGAAGCGCCCTAGATATGACGAGGAGGGGCAGGTTGTCGACGTGATAGGAAAGAGGAAGGCGTTGGAGGAAGCTCACCAGAGTGTGATGGGGATAGAGTCGAGGCTTCCTCCTTTTGATCTGCAAGCACCACCAAAGCTCCACTTCGGTATTGAGGATATTTTTGCTGAAGGGGTGGAGAATGTGGACTTCTCCAGGCTGCGTCGGTAAAAGAAGGAGGTGAACCTGGCCATGCATCGGCAGGAGGTTCCCTTGGTGACTGGGAGTGTTCGTCAGGGAAGACCGTCACCAAACACGTTCCTACCCACTTTCAGTCTATAGGTTCTTGGCCCCATACTTTAAGACTGATTGTTATTGTTTTGTGTTTTGCCTGCTTTCAATCTTGGTTCTCCATTTTTGCTTGTGCAAGTGTAAATGGCTTAGTAGTATCTAACCTTTGGTGCAAGTTCGGTGAAGTGAGGGCCCATTTCCAAGAAGAAAGAAGACGAGGTTGAAAGGGTGAGGTCTCTGTTGTCAGAGACCGAGCGTGAGTACTAAAACCTAGTCACCTAGAAGAATTTGTTTGAGTCCAGACTTTTGCAAGGAAGTAAGTACTTGGGTCACCTTTGTTATTTGTCTTCTGATTCCTTTTTGTAGTGGTGACTAACTTAGGTTTTGATGTGCAGTGACAGGTGTTATAAAGGGAAGCACGAAGGTGGTGGTGGATATTGATGAGGTCGGGATGCAGAAGCGAGTGAGGGAGTCTCGGGCTAAGAAGGCGGAGAAGGGCGGTGCCCAACAGGTGACTGGGAAGCGCCCTAGAGATGACGATGAGGGGTAGGTTGTCGACGTGATGGGAAAGAGGAAGGCATTGGAGGAAGCTCGCCAGAGTGTGATGGGGATAGAGTCGAGGCTTCCTCCTTTTGATCTGCAAGCACCACCAAAGCTCCACTTCGGTATTGAGGATATTTTTGCTGAATGGGTGGAGAGTGTGGACTTCTCCAGGCTGCGTCGGTAAAAGAAGGAGGTGAACCTGGCCATGCATCGGCAGGAGGTTCCCTTGGTGAACGTCTTCTTAGAATGCATGAAGAGTGACCTCGAGGCTCTGGCGATGACACATGCCTTTTCCTTTGCAAATCGGGCTCAGAAGACGATCCTTACCCATGCCTATGTAAGTTATATCTATGTGTGAATTTGTTCTTATCATTCTGGTTTGCTCTGACTGATAATGCTTTATTTTTGCAGGCTTTTGGCGAGATGTATGTCAATATGGCTAAGGCAAATAAGGAGATCTAGAGGCTGAAGAAGCTCGATGAGATGGCCAAGGGCAAGGTAGCGAAGGTGCAGGAGGCCATCCGAGGGAGGAACACCCTGCTGTTGCAGAAGGCGATGATGGCTAAGGAAATGGAAAAGCTGAGGCAGTCGAAGGCTGATGAGATAGCTGTTGCCCAAGTTGAAGTGGTCGAGTCGTTTCGAAGTTCAGAGGAGCTGCACAGCTATATCATGGACCGATTGGTGGATGAGCAGCTTCGTTTGAGAGGATAGACTGGCGAGGTTCAACCCTTCAGTTGAGATCAACTTCGATACGAGGGGCGAGCCTCCTTTACCTGGTCTTATTACTAACGCCACTGCCGTTGCACCAGAGTCAGAGCTGGCCACCGCCGATGCCCCTTCCACCGAGTCTTGAAGGCGTTGCCTTCCTTATATATTCTAGTTATTTTTGGAACACTTAATGTTTATTTCTGCGTTGTATGAACATTTTGCCTTGCTTGTGGTAAGGTAACTTTGATTTGCTATGATATTAGACTTGTTGTCATTTGATATCAGTTGTGCTAGCAAAATGATAATCATGTGATTGATAGGAATTAGCCAAGGTCAGACGTTTCATTAGATAAGTGCTGAAAAGAAGAAGGTACAAGAGATGGTCAAGTCAAGGCTCAAGACCAAAGTCTAAGAAAACATAATGTTCTAGGGTGTGTTTACTTATAGTAGTACTTGAGGTGATCAGCGTTCCAAGAATGAGACAAAGTCTTGCCTTTGGTATCACGAAGCTGATAAGTGCCGAGGCGGTAAACCTTTGTAATCTTATAAGGACCTTCCCATGTAGGACTCAAGTTACCTTCAGTTGGGTTTTTGGTGGCCAAGGAAACCTTGCGCATGACTCAGTCCCCAATCTTGAAAGCACGGAGTTTGACTCGGGAGTCATAGTACTTGGCGATACGATGTTTGTACATGACATTGTGCGTGTTGGATTGGTCATGAAGCTCGTCAATGAAGTCGAGGTTCAAGGCTAACTACTCATCATTGACTTCGGCATCATAAGTGGAGGTTCGGTATGTAGGCTTGTCAATCTCCACTGGTGCCACGGCTTCGGTACCAAAGGAAAGGGAGAACGATGTCTCTCCTGTTGAGGTACGAAAGGTAGTGTGATAGGACCAGAGAACCTCTGGGAGTAGCTCTGGCCAGCAACCCTTGGCTTTGTCAAGCTTGGTTTTCAGGGTCTTCTTAATGATTTTGTTTACAGCTTCGACCTGGCCATTAGATTGAGGATGGGCTGGGAAGGCAAAGCAAAGACGTATCTTAAGGTTGGAACAAAATTGCTTGAACTTTGCATTGTCAAATTGTCGGCCGTTGTCTGTGACGATTGTGTAGGGGATGCCAAAGTGACATATGATATTCTGCCAGACGAACGTTTCGATTCGAGCTGCAGTGATGGTAGCTAAGGCTTCAGCTTTAACCCACTTGGTGAAGTAGTCCACAGCTACAACTGCATACTTGACATGACCCTTTCCCTTAGGCACAGGTTCAATGAGGTCAAGTCCCCATTGGGCAAATGGCCAAGGACTGACCACGGCTGTCAACGGTTCAGCTGGAAGTTGTGGAATTTTGGCAAACCGTTGGCACTTATCGCACTTCTGGGTGAAGGCTTGGGCATCGGTGTGAAGTGATGGCCAGAAGTATTCTTGGCGAATGGCCATATGCCCTCATGAATCTCCCAAATGACATAATTACCATCATCTGGAGTCAGACACCGAAGGTAGGGGAGGCTGAAGCTGCGCTTGTATAGATCGTCGTTGATGATCAAGTATCGAGCGGAGCGATAGCGAACAAGCCACGCTTCAGCAAGATCAGCATGTAGTGTCTGGTTCTGTAAAAACTAAAGGATGAGGTCCATCTATGTGGGGCTGTGATCAATGATACAAATGATTGGTGCTTGTGTGCTGGGCTGATCCAAGAACTCCATGTGGATGTTGCGACCGATGCCTTACTCTATGGCTGAGGCTAGCCTGGCCAAAGCATCAGCATGATTGTTCTCAGAGCCTGGCACCTGGCTTATGAGATAAGCATCAAAAGTTGCAAGCAGGTAACGAGTATGCTGAAGATATGCCATCATAGAGATGTCCTTGGCAGTGAAGTCCTGATTGACTTGATGAACAACGAGCTGAGAGTCGCTAAATATCTGGATTTGCCTAGCGCCCATTTTTTTGTCTAGCCAAAGGCCAGCTAAGAGTGCTTACTCAGCGACATTGTTGGAGGCGTGGAATTTGAAGCGAAGGGCGTACTCAAGGGCAACTTTATCTAGGGAGATAAGAATGAGGCCAGCCCCATATCCCTGGACATTGGATGAGCCAACCACATATAAGGTCCACAAGGGCTGCGCCAAGTCTAGGATGTTGTTGCTGGCAACGTGGACCAGGCTCGAAGGAAGAGTGGGTTCGGTTACAATCTGGGGAACGGCCAAAGCTAGGGTTCTGTAAATTCGGAGATGAAGTCCGCAACACTCAGCTCAATAGCCCACTTAACCGACATACCAAAAGTCTCTGGCTTCTACAATACCTGCCTAAGTGGTTGTTTGGTTAAGACATGGATAGTGTGCGCTTGGAAGTATGGCCTGAGGCGTCTGGCTGACACCACCAGAGTAAAGGCCAGCTTCTCGATATCTGGGTACCGAACCTCGACATCTTGTAAGGCCTTGCTAACATAGTGCACCGGATGTTCAGCACCTTCATGTGGTCAGATGAGCATTAAGCTAATGGTTGTGGTAGAGATGGAGAGGTAAATCGTGAGGGTGTCTCCAGGCTCGGGTGTTAACTATAAAGGGGCCCGGCACATGTACTCCTTGAGCTCGCTGAAAGCCTTGTCACAATCGGCAGTCCAGGTGATGTTTCGTTTGTTGCCCTTAAGTGCCTTGAAGAAGGGGGTGCAGCCGATTAGTGGCCTTTGAGATAAACCTGGTCAGGGCCGTGACATGCCCGGTAAGGCTCTAGATGTCCTTGACTGTTTTGGGTATCTTCATGTCTAAAATGGCCTTGATTTTTTTTTGGATTGGCTTCAATACCTCGCTGGCTGATCATGAAGCCAAGAAATTTCCCTGAAGCCACACCGAAGGCACACTTTGTGAGGTTGAGTCTCATTTTATACTGTTTCAGGATGGTGACCATGGTAGATAGGTTAGGGATATGCTGGTCAGCAGTGCGACTTTTGACTAGCACGTCATCGACATAAGCCTCCATGGTGTTGCCAACAAGTGGGGCAAAGAGGCTGTTGACCAGACGCTAATAAGTAGCCCCGACGTTCTTGAAGCCGAAGGGCATCACCTTGTAGCAGTAGAGGCCACGATGAATGATGTATGGACTTGGTCATCAGGGTGCATAAAAATCTGGTTATACCCAGAGTATAGGGAAGCTATCCTTTGGACAAGCTAAGGAGGGTATGGCCTGTTGTAGCGTTAACAAGCTGGTCGATTCGGGGTAGAGGGAAGCTATCCTTTGGACAAGCCCGATTAAGTTTGGTGTAGTTTACATACATGCTGGCAGTGGTTTGCGGACCATCATCACATTAGCTAGCTAGGTGGGATAGTCCACCTCCTTGATGAATCCAATGCTGCTCAACTTGTCCACCTTCGCCTTCATGGCTTCGTACCTCTATGGGTCATAGGCACGACGCTTCTGCTGAACGGGTCGGATGACAGGATTAATGCTTAGCTGATGAGAAATAACATCAGGTGATATGCCAGACATATCGTTGTAAGACCAGGTGAAGACCTCTCAGTTAAGGCGAAGGTTCAGAGCGAAGCTAATGGGAGAGGGAGGTGCGGATCCGGACCTGCAGATCCAGGATGTCATCGTGGAGGCAAACAAGCTTAGGGTCTTCTGTGGGTTTTGACTTACTGTGTAATTGATTCCTCCCTAGGGTCCTCAGGTCGTTGAGTGCCAGCTCGAGGAGGGGCTGGAGCCTTGGTTACTGCAAGGGCTTCACCCCTATACTGGCGATTAGTGGACTTGACCGCTGAAATATAGCAATTTCGGGCACCAAGTTGGTCGCCACGCACTGTGGTCGTGCCATGGGAGGTGGGGAACTTCAGCAGTAGCATATGCGTGAAAATAAAAACCTTCATTTGCGCCAAGGCAAGGTGTCCGAGGATGACATTGTAAGCTTTGGGGTTGTTAACGATAAGGAAGGGAGTGGTGACTGTCGCCTGTTGGGGTGATGAACCAATAAAGATAGAAAGGTGGATGCTGTTAAGGGGCTAAACAATATCGCTGGAGAAGTTCACAAGGGCTGAACAATATCACCAGAGAAGCTTCAGCAAATGAGCAGGGACCTGGAGCTCGTTGAAAGCATCAACAAACATCACACTGACCAAGTTGCCAGTGTCCACCAGAATACGCCCAACGTTAAAGTTAGAAATGTCTGCACAGATAATGAGTGGGTTATCATGTGGGAGAATGACGCCACGTTCTTCCTCCTTACAAAAGGTGATAGGGGCCCAACCTAATTTTTGTGTCTAAGGCAGGTGTCCCTACTTAGTGCTGAAGACCTGGTGCGCATAGGAAGAACGGACATAATGTTTGATAGAGTTGTTGGAGGTTCCGGCTTGTAGGACCACCACTAATGGTGGAGATTGTTGATCTGCCTTTGGTGAGGGTTAGATGGGGGTGGGAGGTTATGCACATATTTATCTAGCTTTCCCTCACGAATAAGTCCTTCAATAATATTGCGCAAGGCAACACAAGATTCGGTATCGTGGCCGCTGAACTGATGGAAATGGCAGAAGACACCTGTGTTTGGCATAGGCTTGTTGGTCGGTCTCTTGGGGGGGGCTTGGGTATCATGGGTGCCTCGTGCACCAGGACATTCTCATAGATCGTGTTGAGGGTGGTGAAGACCTCAAAACTAGGCTTGGGTGTAAAGGGGAGTGGAGCCTGATCACTTGTCCTGGGAGGGTTGCCTCCACTAGGCCGGTGGTAGTTGTCATGTCTGCCACGCTTGCTACTGTCGAAGGTGTGCTGGTAGCTATCCTTCCTTTTGGGGTGCTGGGTACTTGGTGTGGGGGCAGAATGCTAAGGTGGAGCAGGTGGAGGATCACCAAAAGTACTACGTGCCGGGGTGGCTGGGCCACGCTTGAAATTAAAGTACTCAGCCTTGGCGTGAACTGTTGATTGCCTTATTAGCTCTGCATATGTGATCCAAGGGTTGCTGTGAACTAGGTACCGGAAATTGGACTCGCGGAGGCCACTGTTGAAAGCACTGAAGGCAGCGTGATCGTCAGTCTCTGGGCAACAAGAGTACTCGTGGCTGAAGCGGGCTGCATGCTCTCGAATGGGTTCATCCTCACCTTGCCGAAGCATGTACAAGTCGTTTGCGGAGTACAGGCAATCAGTCTGGATCATGAATGGTCCAGGAAGGTCTACTTCAGACAGTCAAATGAGTTGATGGTGTTGGGGTTCAGCCTATAGAACCAATTCAGGCCCGGGCCGTTGAGGGTGGAAGAGAAGAGGAGGCATATGCCTTCGTCACCAAGGCCCTTGCATCCGATGGTAGACTGGAATGAGTGGATATGGGTGAGAGGATCCTCCGTGCCCGTGTAAAAGGCGATGTAGAGTGGCTGAATGTCCTTCTCTTAGTGGTAATTGAGGATACGTTCGGTAAAGGGCGCAGGTCCTGGCTTCTCCCATAGGGGCTGGTGGTTGTGGTGCTGCTCACTCTCCAGACGCCGGACCTTGTCAAAGAGAAGCCTCATGGCCGGGTCGGCATGAGGGAGAGTGTCGGGTGTTGAAGGCCTGAGGTGTGGGTGGGCAGGGGCTGGGTGAGGTTCCTACTCTTTATACGCCTCGATGTGATAAAACTCCCAATCGTCTGGATGGTAAGGCTCCCAGTTATCCGAGTCTTCTGCACGTTCTCCAGCGGGTATGTGGGTAGGCTTCAGTGGGGGGCCTAAGTGTGCCACTCTTGGGTCTTGGAGATTAACATGAATAGGGATAGGGTCTGGCTGATGGTCCAAGAGACGGTCCCTGCAATCTCTATAGATTTTTACCGGTTCATGGGGCTGGTCCTTCGATGGGGAGATGTGAAGGAGCCGCAATTTGGTCTTCTCCTAGTGGAGGGGATCTTTACCCTTGCTGAGCCTAGACTGGGCTGGGGGTACTATGGCGAGAGTGCACCCGCTCGTTCGGTTGGGCATGCTCAACATCATGAGTAAAGTCATGTTAAGAGCCCTAAGGATGAGTCCTCTCCCAATTACGCTTCAGCGTGCGGTAGTCATGCTCCGGCTCAATGTTCTTGGTATGAAGATGTTCGTATTTCTTGGATATCTTGGCAACACTGGCGCGAAGGCGTTCAACCTCTACCTGGAGGTTGACATCTGTCGAAGGTTTCTTTCAGGAGGTATCCCCTTGGGGGGTATGGTGCTGAGTATCGTGGCTATCATCGGTCAGTATAGCGGAGTGTGGGGTAAAGAAGAGGCGGCAGGGCCTGATGGGAGAAGGAGCGAGCTGGGCTGGTAAAGAAAAGCGGGATTCAAAAGTCGATTTCCACATACGGCACCAAACTGTTAATAGTCATTTTGGGAGGTCAACTTAGAGAGAAGTGGATAGTCTTCAGCAGGGGAGAAGGTGAGGACCTTCGGTAAGGGAAGAGCCTGCAGATGACAAAGTAGGAGAAGCAGTTGTCAAGCTTCGGGCACCAGTGTGGTGCCGGCCGAAGGCTCTCCGATGCTTAAGTCAGCTATGAGTGGTAAATTTGGCAGAGTAACAGTAAATGTGAGAAAATAGTTACACTTTTTACTTGGGTACTGCCCCCTATTTATAGGGAAGTGAAAGTGGGTGGTTTGCACAAAGTTTCGATGTGGGACTTTATGCAAGTTGCTGTGGTGGTGACACGTGTCCTTGGAGATTAGGTTCAGCAGTCGGGAGCTTCAACAAGTGTTTGGCACCTCGGAAGGGTGTCTTCCTTCGGCAGGGGAGAAGGCTTGTTTGCTTTGGTGCTAGTCATTTTGATGCTGGATATGCTTGGTTGATTATGGTGTAAACAATAATGTAGATCATCCCTGTTGTTACCATACTTATTCAATCTGGAACTCTGCATGCCTTATGGATTTAAGAGCCCTAGAGATCGTGAAAATTTCCAAGTCAAAAGAATTCATAAATCAAAATTAAGTTGTTTACATGGCATAATCATATACAATGTTTACTTTGTTGACATCCATTTCCCTTATTGTGTTTGAAAGTTTACCTGTGGCTCCACATTAGAACTATAAGGATAGCCTACTTAACAATTGAAGCTTCCTTGTTTGCAGTGAACATTGCTCCTTTCATCATTCCTCTGCAGAAAAAAAGATCAGACTCCCCATGCTTGATGTTCTTCCTTCAAGCAACTGATGATTTGGAGACCACTACCACTTTGCAATACTATGCGGACTTGATTTGCCCTGTTCTTTAAGAAACAATAATAAAAGGTAGCTTTAGAGTTATGTGGGAGTGATTTTTCCCATGAGAATATTCGACTGGAAAGATTCCCATTTCTTCTTCGCCACTTCTTTCTCCTTGCAAAATAGATTGAATAAGAGGACCACACCCGGGGGTGTTGGCCAAAGGCCCTCTGATGCCTAAATTAGTTCAATTAATTCGTAGAGAAAACAATAGCTAATAGGATACGGAGATGTGTTTATGGTGTACACTGGGCGGCCGGAGCCTTATATAAAAGAAAGAGAGAGAGGAGGTGGCTAGGGTTTGTGAGGGGAAGATCTCTATAGAGTTTTAGTAGTAATTCTGACGTACCTCAATCCTTGTGCGTAGCCAAGTATTTATAGGGGGCCTCGACGAGGTTGGTGAGGTTGGTGTATTTAGAGATTTGATTTAATCAAATCCCTAATTAAGGCAAGAATCAAATACACCCAACCTGAATCAAATAACCTCCCAATTAATTGGGAATTGTGATAGAAATCAAATCAATTCTCAGCCTAATTAGGTAACATTCAATTTAATTGGGCAATCCCCAATTAAATTGAGTAACTCCCAATTAAGTTGAATAATTCCCAATTAGGTCAAATAATCCCCAAATAGAAGGAATTATTTGACATAGGATTCTGATTTAATTCGGTTCCCACAAATGCCCCCCCCAACTTCTACATGGCGCATGATGGCATGTAGGAGATGTGAATCATCTATTGGGAATACTTGTAGTTCAGTGTGACAAGAAACTAATGATTTGAATAATTATTTATTAGTGTGCAATATTCTTTTGGTGATTTGGATGGAAAGGAACAGTTTAACTCAAAGCCGAAGTTGGGCAGTTTGTGGACTATTTATGAGATATGGCTAGACTTTGGGCCTCTCTATGGGCTTCAGTCTCATCTGTATCATGATTGCCCATTCTTTCTCTTAAATTTGGAAAGGGAAGCAAGCTGCTATATCGTAGTTGTCCTGATTGTACTTTGGGGGTTTTCTGCATTGTTGGACGCTGTACTGTCATACTTTTCTTTTGGGTTCTTATCAATTGTAGGCTTTGTGCAGTGTGTTTTCTGGTCTTCTAGTCCACTTTGATTGTACTTCCCATTCATATTAATTTGCTGGTTGAAGTCTGAAGTCTATTTTTACATGAAATTAATTATAACAACTATAAAAGAAAGAATCTGTGACTACCCTGTTCTTGCTTAACTACGTTTTATTTAGAATTATATTTCTGCACACGTTTGATACATTGGATTAAGAATCTGTGACTGATGATTTTATTGTTATACTGATTATTCTAATATTCATTTTATTTGGAAGCTGGACATTTTTATACAAATTTTCCTAGATTGTCCATTGCGTTTAAACTCCATGTGTATTGTTGCATACCTCTGTTTTTTGATTTGTATATATTAGGCAGTTGTTAGCAGCTCCTGACAAACTCAGTTTGCTTTCTTTTTTCTTTTTCTGGGTTTGATCTTAGAGCATTTTAGTTAATCTGTTGGTAACTACTGGATGCGGTTAAACTAAAGAAAAAGAACTAATATAAAAGTGAAGTAAAAAGAAATTAATGTAGGGTAAGGGTAGAATAGGAAAGAAAAAAAACAAAATTAATTAAAAAATATTAAAAAGTAAAAGGGAATGTAAGTGGAAAAAAAAGGAGTAGGAAAATCAGATCCTAAAACTAAAACCAAAATCCAATTTTCCTCAATAAAAAAAAACTCCATTATGAACAAAATTAATTAAAAAGTATTAAAAAGCAAAAGGGAATGTAAGTGGAGGAAAAAGGAGTGTGAAAATCAGAACCTAAAACTAAAACCAAAATCCAATTTTCCTCAATAAAAAAAAACCCCATTATCCATTTCTTTTTCTCGTGAAGCAAATACAATAATATATTACCAGTCGCCACTGTCTTGATGTTTTACTGCTTTAAAGTACTTTGAGTCTGATTGATCCACAAGATCAGCTACCAGTCCACTGATATGTGGTGGAAGTGATCGGTTTACTACTAAGAATCAGCCATGGCTTCTTCTTTACCGGGTCAACTCGTTTTTCTCTTAGAGAATGGACATCATGTGTGGGAGGACCAATCTCTCATCAAGTGGAGGAAGAGAGATGCACATGTCCCTTTACGTTGCCATGATTCAATTGAAGGTGAGGAACTAAACCCATTTCAATTTCAGTTTCGTATTTGGATTAAGAGTGTTTTCATGTTGCTGGAAGTTTTGCTTTGTTTCACGTTGCCTTGTTAAATTTTGGTTAATGGAGTTTTTTGTTGCTGGAATTTTGTAAATGTTTGAGATATAAGTCTGTTTGATTCAGAATCACATTCAATCTTCAGATGAATGAAGAGTTCTATGAAGTGGGTTTATGATCGTGAATTAGGGGATTTCATGTGATAAAAATAATATGAAGTACTCATGTAATGCTAGTATATTATATATGCATTTAGCTATTTTCTTTATTATAAATTTCAGGTTCTACATGCAACATTTATAGGAAATGATTTAGCAATGTCATTTAGATGTTTCGACTTTGCATTTTATACAAACACACATTGAATATATATATAATTATAAAAAAAAAAAAAAAAAAAAAAAAAAAAAAAAAAAAAAAAAAAAAAAAAAAAAAAAAAAAAAAAAAAAAAAAAAAAAAAAAAAAAAAAAAAAAAAAAAAAAAAAAAAAAAAAAAAAAAAAAAAAAAAAAAAAAAAAAAAAAAAAAAAAAAAAAAAAAAAAAAAAAAAAAAAAAAAAAAAAAAAAAAAAAAAAAAAAAAAAAAAAAAAAAAAAAAAAAAAAAAAAAAAAAAAAAAAAAAAAAAAAAAAAAAAAAAAAAAAAAAAAAAAAAAAAAAAAAAAAAAAAAAAAAAAAAAAAAAAAAAAAAAAAAAAAAAAAAAAAAAAAAAAAAAAAAAAAAAAAAAAAAAAAAAAAAAAAAAAAAAAAAAAAAAAAAAAAAAAAAAAAAAAAAGAGTACATAAATGAGTATATTTATGGACTTATCAAAGTTTATTGGATTGCGTCCTTATATCCTGATGGCTATGTTCCTTCTGTCTGTCAGGCATACATGGCGCTTGGTGATATTGAAGCTGTAGTTGAAAGCTTCAAAAAGGCATTGGATCTGGAGCCAACTGATTGTTTGTCTCTCACTGAAAAGGCATTGGATTGCGTCCTTATATCCAGTAAGTGGTGTGAACAGTTGTTATACTGTTCATACTCTGCAATTGAGTTGATTTCTATGACATAGTACTAACAGTGTACTTCTATTACATATTATTAACAGATTTTCAGTAACGAAGCATGCTTTATATTTTGCTCATATGCTGTGCACTTGAAGTTTATGATATGCATAATGTGATTTTCACTAGGAAGATAGTTCTATGACATAGTATTAACAATGTACTTTTTTTCCTTCTTATACAGGGCCTTTGCGATTGCTTCAGGTGAAACTATGGACAATTGGAGGTGGTTTTTGCAAAGGATATCGGATATCTTGTTGGGCTTTTTTGGGTTTTTTTGAGTTTTTTCTATGAAATGGTATTAACAATGTTTTTCTATGAAATGATATTAACATTGTATTTCTATGACATGATATTAACAATGTATTTCTACGATATGGTATTAACAATACACTTCTATGATATGGTATTAACAATAAACTTCTATGACATGATATTAACAATGTACTTCGGGTTTGCTGGGCTTATTTTGGGTTTTTTTTTAGTTTTTTGTATTAGGCTTATTTTAAGTTAATAAATGGCAGAAATGTAATTTATAAGAACTTCAACACTCATTTTTAGATAATAAATGGTTTTTGGGTATGTTTCTAAAGTCTATTCCATATAGGGTTTTTTTTTTAATAATTTCAAGTCCTATTTTGGGTATATTACTAAAGCTCCCTTTAAATAATCACCAGTGTTGATTGGTGAAATCAGCGATCAACGTAAAACTTTGATCCTAGAGGGGTGGCAAGGTTACATGGATCAAAATGAAAATAAAGATTGGGATATGGAAGAACACAAAGTGAAGTTGATAATATGCTTCGATTGATCTTCTCAGGATGATTCATACAAAGAGCATGGAGCTTAAGGGGTTTACAAGAAGTAGGATTTCTAAGTGAAAAGGAGATAGTCAAGCGCATGTGGTCTGCATGGGCTGGGGAGGCATAGCCTACTAGGCTGAAAGCGTGGCTTCTGGTAACCGTCACTTCCGAGCAGGGGCCCAATCAAAGGTTAATTTGTGAATAGTCATGAATGCTTTATGGAGTTTCCTAAGGCGACGATGCTCTGAACAGTCGCTTACCTCCGTCTTGTCATGTGTGAGGCCCAATGGCATCTCCTCTCGTAAAGACATGTCTTGTCCTAGAAGTGGCCCAATGGTGATCAGATACGTGGACGTCTTCAATCATTAGTGGCTCCAAAGTCTCTAAGTGAGCCATCCCTCAGGCCCCGTTTGGTTCATGGGAAAGGAGGCATGAGAATGGGAATTCAATTGCTTTCCCATGTTTGGTAAGTCCAAGCATGAGAAATGGTTGCCTGGCACATGGGAAAGTAGAGGGAAAATGAAGATCTCCTCTTAACTTGGGTTTTGTTTTCCCTCATCATGGGAAAGTTTGGGAAAATGAGCCAACATTCAATGCACAATTTTCATGACTATTTTGTCCCTATGAACAATTTATAATTACAACGTATCATTAAATGCATTCTTTTTTTTATTTTATTTAATATGGGTATAATTGGAAAATTATACAAACTTTGTTTTCCATTCCTACTCAAAACAAACATGGGAAAGGAAACAAAGTGAAATCTCCCGGTTACTTTCCCGACATTACTAAACGTGAGAAATGACATGGGAAGTAATTTCCCCTCAAATCCATTCCGTGAACCAAACGGGGCCTCAGGGTGGTTGACCGGGACTTTCCAAGGTATGTAGGAAGATACCCTTGATTTCTCCTAACCATATAGGCCAACCCGATGGGTCGATGTGGTGACACTACGGAGCTGTGTAGTTTTAGTGCTCGTCCCGTTCGAGTGGTCAGTCATAAGGGTCTGCCTCAACTAGTGTGGCTTGTGTGGGCTTTGAGTCGACATCGCGGTACTAGTGGTTAATTGGGCTCGGTCAGATCAATCCCTTATATCAACAACCACCACCATGTACAAATACATGGTACAAATAACTAGGGGTGGCATTTTAGACCGAAAAACCGCAAAAATCAACCAACATTATACTGCATTGGAACCGCAATAGCTAAAAACCGACCGAAAATTGCGGTTTTAGAAACCGAACCCCAATTGAGGTTGCGGTTGTGGTATGTGATTTTGGCAACTCGCAGTTACTGCAAACTGCAAATATATATTTTTTAAAATTGCATTTTAGTAGTTAGATGTTATGTTTTAATTTGGTTGAGTTTAATCTATTATTAATATGCTTTTATATTGTTGCTTTTATGTTGTGTTGTGTTGTGTTATAGATGGATTCTAGCCTCTCTAACACACCCAATGCCTCTAATCCCCCAAATACAAACCTATACACCCAAAACACAACCTCCACTCCAACTCATAAAGAATGACTTCTTCTTATAATAAAATCCACTCACCACCACCTACACTTGAGTTCTCATTTTGGTTTGTTATTTTAATTAACTTTGAATTGGATTTTTCTTTAGGTTGTGAATGCTTGAGAAGTTGAGGTTGAGGTTGTGAATTTATATATGCTTGAGAAGTTGAGGTTGTGAATTTATTTCTTTAGGTTGTGAATTTATATATGCTTGAGAAGTTGGGGTTGTGAATTTATTTCTTCAGATTGTGAATTTATTTTTTTTGGTTAAAGTATGCTTGCACTCACAAAGTTTCAAAAGAAGCATCAAACCTAGGCTTAAAAGTGTGGAAGATTGAATTTTTATGACACAAAAAACCATACTTAAAGATATAAAATTGTCTAATTTAGGCCCAAAATATTCAAATCGTTTTAACCGTTAATTCACAGTAACCGACCGATTTTTCGGTTTACAGTTTCAAAAATCACCTTACCGCAAATAGTAGGTTGGTTTGCGGTTCGGGAAAAAATTCACGGTTATTGAACCGCAACCACCCCTACAAATAACCACTTTTTCGGTAGCACTTTGAGCCAATACAATGATGAAGATGAGCCACGGAGCATCAAATGATGCTTTTGAGAGGAAAAAGATCTGGGACAATCCAAAAGCATCCAAGGCTGGAACAAAAAATATTATAAAAAAACTATATTTTTCATATCCATACACATAAAAAAACAACTTAAAATAAGAGTATCCTTGCTTCATAGGTGGATATAAAGAAAAAAGCTAGAACAAGAGGAAACAGTACTGATTGCATGTAGACAAATAACATTCAGATTCAGAGAAAAGTTCAAGTGTAGGAGCTCTGGTGGCCATAAATCTCCAAACCATACATCTCAGTTTTTGTTTTCTTCTTGCAAATTCCAGCCTGTTTATCCAGCAGCCCCTTACCTTTTTATCTTATTTATATTTTCTTCTTGTTCGTACCGCTAGCTTCGCTATATATATTATATAGCAAAAACTAGAATAATAAGCCCACCAAGAAAGAATGATCCGTTCGACATGGAGTAGTTGTTGCCAAATTTGCCAATCCCCACACGCTGGCCTTTGTTTGAATGGATTTTATTGCCCTTAATGTCGTAGTTTCGACCCCTCCTTGCTTCAAGACCATCAATATAACCTGCACGATAGTCGTTGTTGAAGTCGAAAAGCCCAACTTCTGTGGCTTCAGATGAGCTGATTTCATTCCTATGAATCTTCCACGTCTCACTATTTTCGTTTTGCGGAAGCTCTTGTTCATTTCTTTCTCCAGTGGACTCTTCTCCGGAATTCTCCTTGGTGCTCTTGTTCAGTTGTTCAGCTTCGGTTCGAGATCCATCTTATACATATATGCAAAGAGAAAATGAAAAATAATCTTCAAATAAGTGAAAATTGGGGCAAATACTGCAAAATCTTTCAATAAATTCAAGTTACTATTGTAAAATAAGTACTAAATTCCTTAGGCATGCACGCATAGAATCACATCAAGGAGATGATCTTGGATCAAATAAATTTACATACCTGCCATTGATGAAAGCTGAAAGGAAAGTGTTCTTTTATCCTCTGTAGAGTTCGTATGTTCAACCGGCAATACAGACTAGATGTTTTGAACGCGTGTTTGGAAATAGCATGGATGCGCCCATTGTTATAGACCATTGAATGGATAGTTGGTGATGTGGAGTTATCCACACCGTTGAGTTAGTTACCGGATAAATCGGTTGTTGTAGGTAAAAAGAAAAAAAAAGCAAAAACTCTCCTTCAGTCTGACATTTCCTCTCAGGTATCTCTCTCTTTCTTCTCCGTAATTGTCTCTCTCATCTCTATATCTCATGGTCTCTCAATCTCCTTCCCAGGCTTCGTTTCTAAACCAAACCCATACCAAAAATCTCAGCCCCAATCTAAACCCCCATTTTGCTCGATCTCTGCCGTCTATCTCTCTCTTTCTCTCAATCGTTTCAGCCTTCACTCTCGGTCTCACTCGATTCTCTTTCTCTATAGCTCTGGCTTGCTCTTTCTGTCTCTCTCTTAGATATGAGCACCAAACATGGGTGGGCACAAATCTGTGCGTGATGAGAATCCTTTGAAATAGAAAGTTTGGGGTTTCAATTTTGTTAAACTGAAACCATCTTAGCCAGAAAGTTTAGTGATGGGAATTCTTATGGGCATCACTCTCTCTATGCCAAAAGATAATTTTAATTATTCAAGGTTTGAGTTTTCTAATTTATATTGTAATTTTAATCATTGATGTGAATTTATGAATTTGAATTTATCTTATTTTATGTATGAATTTGAATGTGTGAGATGATTCTCATATTATATTATATATACATATATATATATATATATCTGGCAATGTGTGAAATCATTGAACTCTTTGGCCTTCTAGGGGTTGATTTTTTGTTTACAATGATGAATTTGTAATTGTTTTCATATTAGCATATTGCTTTATGTTTCCGTTCATTTTATTGATTGTTTCGTGATTGTTTTTCAGGTTGGGGTAAAGAATTAGGCCAAGTACAAGACTAATATACTATTTTGGAGTCTATTTATTTGGCTAGTTGAATTTGTAATATTTTCATTGTATTTTTTTTTTTTTTTTTTTTTTTTTTATATACACAATGACTTGAGATTTTAGATTTATAATTATTGGTTATGTAGAGTGAATGTATTGA